AGTTCTGGTGGTGGAGGGGATGGGAAGGCGAGGTTGAGGGCGAGTTTGTTTTCGAGTAGGGATGTGTTGGGGGAGAGGAGGGGATGAGATGGTTGCTTGTATTGTTTGTGATTTACACTTGGGAGTTGGGTATGTGGTGGTTGATGTACAGGCTGAGGGTATGGATTCATTATGTATGTCGGTTGCATATGAAGCTTTGATGAATGAAGCTCAGAGACCAGCTCGAGCTCAGAATCAATATGCTGGATAGCAGCATTGTCTGTTGGTCGATGTCCGACATGTCCAACCGCTGCTCGTGCCATGTTGGCATCCATTGACTGGAGTTGGCTTGGGGAGCTGTCGTAGTAGGTAGAAGCACCTCCACGGCCAGTCCTCATATATCGTGACGTGGGTCCTTGGAAGGGCTCTGGCAGTCTCCCGGGTTTAGTTGAGGAAAAGAACTCAAGATCAGCTCTCAAGAAGCTTCATCCTCACTTTCCATAACCTTCTCACATGCCTCCCTAAGCTCCGCAACCCCTTTAACGCCCTCCCACTTATCCAACAGCTTCCGGACCTCTTCCCAGTCCTTCTCCGCCTCCACCCTCTTCCCCTCCTCAAGCAGCTTCTCCAGCCTCCCACGAGCAGCCAGCACCCACTGCACCGTCTGCTTCTCCGACCTCCTGCGCTCCGACCCATCATTCGCCTTCGCCTCCTTCATCCGCCGCTGCTGTTCCTCGCCCTCCTGGATCAAACTCCCCGCCGTCTCCGCCACAAACGCAATCGCGGGCCCCAGCGTCTTGGTCATAGTCAACGGCGCACCGCGATCATCCATCGTGCGACGCATTTTCCCAATCGTCTCCACCGCCGCAATCAACTTCGAGTAATTATCGTAAACGAGCGCCTTGCGTTCACTATCCAGCGTACGAATATCCCCAACGAGTGTATTTTCCGCTTTCAGGACCGTCGACAACGACGACGTGGCGAGGAGATGGTTGACATAGCGGTGGGGATCGAAGTCCGGACTATCTAGCTCGGTGCCGGTTGATACGATTGACGGGCTGGAAATGTCGCCTGCGTCGGTGTGTCGGGGGACGCTGCGGGAACGTCGTCCGCCGGTGGGGTCGGCGGCGGAGGGCTTCAGGTTGTAGTAATCTCGGAGGGCGGCGCGGTTGCGTCGGGGGTGGAGAGAGGGGGAGACTGCTCGTGCGGTTGAGGGAGTGGAGGAGGCGCTGAGTCCGGGGCCGATGTTGGTGTTTAGGGTGTCGAGGGAGGGTCGGTGGGAGGATGTTGGGGTTGGGGAGTGGGCGCGGGAGGATGCAATTGAGGGTCGGGGGGAGGAGAAGGTCGACATGGTGAGGTGTCGAGGTGTGTAGACAATTCGGGTCTGAAGACAAAATCACGGACAGAAGGTGAAATCGGAGAAAGCGAGGAGGTCGCCGATAAGGAGATGGGATGAGGTCAGGTGGTCCGTTCCCCGGATTCGCTCCGCATCGGGTGTTTTTCCAACAACATTTTAGACCTCACCAGTCACCAGCATTCACACCCTCATTGCTGTTGATTTTCCCCACAGCCATGCTGCTATCCTCAACTTACACCAAGCTTAACCCCATCTAACACAACCACAACCACCATGACGACCCCGCAATCCCAAATCGCCACCCATCTCCAAACCACCAAATCCCTTGCCGTCTCCCCAACCTGGCTAAACAGCTTCCTCTCCTCCTCCACCGCACTCCAACGCAACATCCCCCTCTCCGCACTCACCCAAACGGCCCTCTTCCGCATCCTAGCCTCCGACTTCCGCGACTCCCTCACAACAAATAACCCCTCCTCTCTCCTCCCAATCGACATCTTCGACCCCACCGTGCAAGAGCGTCGACTCCCAGGCCCCATCCCCGTCCAGGTCCTCGATATCGAAGACATCGGAACCAGTCTCTGGAGTCAAGTGGAGGCGATTGAGCGCGTGGAGCGCGGCGAGGCGATCCGGGGACGGGAGATCGTGCGTACGGTTAATGTGGGTGGGGAGGAGGGTGAGGAGGGTGCGGCTGGGGCGGGTGAGACGGGCGGTGCCGGTGCGAGCAATGGTCCGCATCGGTTGATTTTGCAGGATGCCGCTGGGACGAGGGCTGTGGGGATTGAGTTGGTGCGGGTTGATGGGGTTGCGGTGAATAAACTTCCTATTGGGGCGAAGATGGTGTTGCGGAATGCGATGGTCGCTCGGGGGATGGTTCTCTTGACGCCTGAATGTGTGACGGTGCTTGGGGGGAAGATTGAGGGGATGGATCTGGCGTGGAAGGAGGGGAGGAAGGCTAGGTTGTTGGAGAGGATTTCTGGGACAGGTGAGGGGCAGATGTAGATTGGTTGACTACAGGATTCAGGGTGTGCAGATGGTAAGGAATCTTTCCATGGTCCTCTTCATTACTCATGTCTCTAGGGCTTGTCTCTCCATGGTCTGTTACAGATGCTAACTTCAGGTCTAGTTGGTCGTGGAGACCGCGTGGCTCAGTTCCTCCCACCCACTCTGCTTCCATGGTGCAACCATGATCGCCCGCAGAGCGTCACTGGCCTTTCCGGTCTGAGTATATGCAGTGGACAGATCGACGGCATCTAGATGGCTCCGGGGAGGAACACTCCTCAACGCCCGCTTGGTGGCCATCTCGGCAGGATACAGTTCTTGTGTGGCGGATGACAACTCCACCCAGCCTTGAGCCTCAAACGGCGATCTCATCACGGCCGCCGTGGCCTCGCCAACGCGTCGGACTTCCTCAGGAACGTCAGAATTGTCCGTGTATCCCAGAGTAGAAACGGCTGTTCGGAGCTTAATCAGCTTGGCGCGTTCGTGAATCTCAATGTCATCTCTCGTGATCATGTTCTGAAGATCAGATTCGACGGCCTCAATGACGTCCTTGTCGGCGTCGAGGAGTGCGATGGCTCCTAGAAGCGTGACTGCTCCAATATGCTCTGGATACTCCTCAACACAGTCAAACAATTGCTGGCGAGCCACAGCGCGCTCCTCTTCTCCGCCCTTGGCCCACAACACCTGCGCCAGGAGGCACACCACCTCCGGCGCATTATCTGCTTCTTGCAGAGCATCACGGAACATGTCAATTGCACTATCCATGGACTTCATATAGTAGTGCGCCAGACCGGCGGTCAAATGGGCTGACAGGCGCAACTTCCTATTAGTCTCCGGGTCGAACTTCTCGGCATCTTCCTCTCCAGATAGCATCAAGGCAGTCTCCGCCTTCTCTGCAGCTTCTTCGAACTCATGGCGTGCGAGCAGCACGCGAGCAATATCTGCGTTTGCCTGCGCAAACCGGGAAAGGGACGACGCGGACTCGGTGATTTCATATTCGGCCTCCATGCCGGTGCAAACCGTCCGCAAACTCGATTCAGCATCGGTGTACTCGCCAATTCTTTCAGCCAGAAGAGAAGAAAGATGAACGAATGGCAGATTAGACGGGTCTTGGCTGGACAGCTGGTGCAAAGCAAAGAATGGCTGAATGAGTTGTGATATCTCATTCGAAAGGGACGAATCCGACAGGAGGTAGTCAAACAGGCTCATCGTGTACTGCTTCTTGGACAAGCTGGAGGACGAGTTGGAGATATCGTAGGCATGTTCGAAGAGGCCCTTCGCTTCCTGGGGATCTCCGAACAACAGGGCCAAGAATCCCTGACCAACCCAAGCCTGGGAATAATCGGGGTCGGTTGACTGTGCCCGGGTAAAGGCCTCGTTGGCGAGCTGGATATCATTGTGAATGAGGTAAAGCGTTGCCAGATTCGTCCAAACTTGCGCACTCCGGTCGTTGAGGTGGAGACTCCGGACGAATGCATGCTGTGCGACTTTGGGGCTCATGCTCGTGGTGACCACTCCCAGTGCGTTCCAGAACTCAGAATTTCCAGCTTCCAGCTCAATGGCTCTCTTAAAGCAGCGCATTGCTGCTTTCAAGAACTTTCGTGGCTGCTTCTTGCCTTCGGCGCTTGAGACGGTCTGCAGACACCTGTAAGCTCGGTATTCTGCCCAGCCTAGGTTGTACCAAGCAACCGCCTGGGCATGGCTGTCTCGTAGCGAAACCTGTATAGCACGCTTGTACGCCAGGATCGCGGCATAAAGACATTGAATCGTTGGGTCGATATCATCCTCCTCGGATGTTAACGAATGTAGGTAATCGTGACCGACGTTGTCAACCTCCGTCAAGATATCCAAAGCCGTAGGTTCAAGCTGGGTCGATAGTAGATCTTGTAGCTCGTGAATCGGCAACCTGCCTGCTTTTGACCGAACATAAGAAAATAGCGTGCAGGCATCTCCAATGCCTTTCCAAAGGTTGAAGACATCGACTCTTTCCAGAGCAAGCGACTTCGCCACCAGTATAGCCTTACGTGCCAGCTCGATACAGTCGTTATAGAGTCCCAGGTCAAGACTCTTCCATGAACTCTCGGTAAGCGTCTGGAGCAGCGCAATTGCTACTCCAAACTCGTTTGGTCGCACCTGTAAGACGTCCTCATACCTCGCAATAGCATCGTCGTACTCGCCAAGTTCTCGCTTGACATTCGCTAGCATGTATCTTGCGAACCAGATCTGTTCCTTATCTGACAGAGCATCCTCCAATTGCTGTGCGTGTTCAAATGCCTTTGTAGCGGCAATGAACCTACCCGAGTGGTGGTAGCTCTCGCCTAAACCGACCCAGGAGTGATAATCGTTGGGAGATATTCTCAGCGCCGCTTGGAACGAGACGATACTCTTAGGGTACTGCTGCTTATTAATTTGGACTGTACCTAAAGCTGCGTAGGGCCAGCTATAGCCTTTGCGCTTCGAGCCTGGGGCAGGCTTCGCTTTCCCCGAATCAACCACACGCTGGGACACGGCTTCAACAAGATCCCATTCCCGCTGGTCGGCAAAGGCCTTAGCGAGTCTCTCAGCCGCTTCGATCTCAGATGCTGATAACTCGAACGCCTTGTGGAAACATCTGCGTGCCCGTGTCTTGTCTTTCTTGTAATCCGCATAGTAAAAGCCAAGGCTTGTATAAGCGGGTGCAAAGTTCATGTTGGACTGAATTGATGCGAGGAAACTGGCATAGGCACCCGTCCGGTCTTTACGCGCAGCTGGCGATTGGTCGATTTCCCACTGACAGTATCCCACCCGGTAAAGGATCTCGGACTTGAATTCCCTGTTCTCGGATTGTGCATCCTGCAGTTCCGCGAGCACATCCTGAAGACCATCCAGGCCAGATGCCAAGTCCCCGTTGAGCGCCCTGCACCACGACAGCTCCCCGCGGACCTTCATGTTCGACGGGTCTCGCTCTAGGGCGCGCTCCAAGAAGTTGACAGCTTCGGAATAATCTTCATCGACCTTAAGAATCAGGCCGATACCCAACAAACAGCTTGTAGACGTTGGCTTTCTTTTCAAAATCTCTTCAAACACCCGCTGTGCCTCGGGATGGTGCCGTGGAGACTGATAGTAAATGAGAGAGTTCGCAAGCATTATGTTGAGCGAGTCCGTCGCGTTTCCCAGATTGATACCAGTCCTCCTCACCAGATCTTGAATGTTTCGCAGCCCTTTGCGACAGACATCAACTGTACTGTCGTACTCTTCAAGCGAAAGGTAAAGTTCGCCGACAACCCGATGTGCAACGATTGAGGAAGATGATGCCTCAAGTCCTTCCACCATCAAGAGCAAATTATCCTGAACACCAAGTTCATTGCTCTCACCGTTCTCATTCTCGGTCTCATCTTTCTTTGGGGGTTCTTTGGATTCTTTGGGTTCTTTGGGCTCTTTGGGTTCTTTGGGTTCTTTGGGTTCCTCATCTTTGGGAAACGGTGATAAATCACTGGCCAAGAAGCCCTTAAGAAGTTTGGAAAGTCCATCCTCGGGGAAAAATTCGATAAAATCGTCTAGGAAGTTGCGATCCCATTCCGAGAAGTCTTGAATATCCTGCCACTCAAGCACAATTTTCCACGCGAGTTCGAATGGGTGCTTGATGATTACCATATCATGAGCAGCCTGCAGCACCTCTGCTCGCTTGGCATCCTTTTCATCCGCCGGCAACACAGCAAGAACATCATTCGCCCGTTGTAACGCTTTTTCTTCGTAGGTGCGTCGAACCTGGTCGTCATGCGACCAGTCCACGATTGCCCGGTAAAGCTGCTCTAGTTCACTCCGTTTGAACGCCTCTCGCTTGACCTCCAGTGTGACCTGATCGATTTTCGCACCCAGCCGAGTACGCCTTTCTCCTATCTCTCTGTTGATGAACTCCTTCTCCTCCGCCTCGGTCATTTCAATCAATCGAAGATACGTGTGTGACGGATGGGGAACTCTTCCTTCTAGGAAATCGTAAAGCGGGCATGACGGCAGGTGGAGTTCGAGGGCTTTTTTATATTGTGAGCGGGAACCATTCTTTTTGGAGAACGCAATGTACTTGTCCACCAGATCCTGGCAGCGGTGCTTGTCATCTCTGCGCCCCGTTAGCGATCGACCGTTAGTATGGTAGCGTATGGACGGAGTGGCAGACGCACGATTCGGCGAATAATTGACCAAGTCTGATAACTGCCTCGCGATACGGCTCTAGCTTGTAAGCTCCTTGTTTCTCATATAGATTGATGAGTCCCTGCCAGGCTGTTTTGTCGTTCTCTTTGACGCGAATTGCCGACAGATAGGCTTTCTCAGCTTCACCATTTTTATTTAGCTTATCCAAAGCGAGGCCGAGGAAGACATTTCTATAACTCGGTCAGACAGTGCAATTGCGAGAGCACAATGGTTAGTGCCACGGGTCGGGGCCACGCACGCATGGTAGATCTGAGGGTCATGTTGCACAATGGCCTTGGCTTTCTCGGCGGCGAGCTCGAAATCCTTCGAGTCGAGTGCTGTGCGCACCGCCTTGAGAGCGGACTTGCTTGACATTCTAGTACAATTGCTTCATGGCCTGGCCCTTGCGGCGAGTTTCTGGGCAGACGGGGAGGGGAGGAGTCGAGCAGGTTGAGAAAAGGCTGGCTATGTGGGGAAGCCCAAGCGGGTATGGCCCAGGTGATACGTCAGAGGCCCGGCCGGATCTCGTTATCTCCAAGCAGCTGCTCGGCTCTCCGCACGCCTGCAGCGGATCCCCTTTGCTCCAGGGAAAGAGTCGTTGTGCCGAAGCTGCGTTGCAGGCCTAAGAGAATTCTCGTGCTGCTGTGGTAGAGCCTAACATACCCCTCGTTGGCTCTCCTGGTGGCCATTCAACAGGTGTTCCTGCAAGGTTAGCGCAGATCCGATCGACACTTCACTCGGCTCCCCAGGAGTCTTTGTTGTTGTACGAACTGTCGACTCCCAGGGACCTTTCGATCATCTGGTCTGTTTCTTCATTCACTTTCCCCCTTCTTCAAGCAAGGGTTTGGATTGTTCCTTCCTGCATTTGTCCGATCAGGCTATCTCCGGCGCCCAACTGCAGTTTCATCGTTGCCTACGGCTATACCATACGTTGCCACCGGCAATCATGGGTTCCCTACGGCTTCGCATCGATGGCCGCACTTTCAAGGATCCGCAGAATCGGGAGATTACACTAAGGGGAATCAACGTGGCCGGTGAATCCAAGTACCCCAAGAACCCCGATACCCCTTCCTACGTATCCGATTCCTTCTTCGACGCCGATAACGTTTCGTTCGTCGGCCGGCCCTTTTCCCTTGACGACGCGCACACACACTTTGCAAGGTTACGCAAATGGGGCTACAATACTCTGCGATACATCTTCACCTGGGAAGCGATTGAACACGAAGGGCCCGGAAAGTACGACGATGAATGGATAGCATTTACGATCGAAGTCCTGCGAGTTGCCAAACAGTATCAATTCTATGTTTTCCTCGACCCTCATCAGGATGTGGTACGTCTCTAATGGTGATGTCTGCTGGTGAATTGAACATTTACTGATTAAATACAGTGGTCTAGACTATCGGGAGGGTCCGGTGCGCCAGCCTGGACGCTTTACGCGGCAGGCTTGAACCCCAGAGCGTTCAAGAAGACCGAAGCTGCTCTTGTCCAGAATACATATGACAACCCTGCAGAATTCCCCAAAATGATCTGGAGTACAAATTACACCCGTCTGGTCTGCCAGACCATATTCACGCTATTCTGGGGAGGCCGGGACTTTGCTCCTAAGGCGGTCATCGATGGCATGAATATACAGGACTACCTACAAGGCCATTTCATTGCGGCTTGTAGATACTTTGCGGAGAAGATCCACGAGGCCGGCGATATCGAGAGTGAGGTTGTCATCGGATGGGAGAGCATGAATGAGCCGCATCGGGGTCTCATCGGGGTACAAGACATTTCCGTGATACCCCCGGAACAGCAGCTCCAACTGGGAACATCACCAACTGCTTTTCAGGCCATGTTGACTGGTTCGGGGCGGGCGTGCGAGCAAACTACCTGGGCCTTTGGCAGCTTTGGCCCTCACCAGACCGGCAGGGAACTCGTGGACCCTGAGGGTGAGTCCGCATGGCTACCGGCAGACTATGATGACCAGAAGTACGGGTGGAAGAGAGACCCGGATTGGAAACTGGGTGAATGCCTTTGGGCGCAACACGGAGTATGGGATCCATCATCGGACCAACTTCTACGGAAAGACTACTTTGCCAAACGGCCACAGACCGGAGAGCCCTTGGATTACGATAAATTCACCAACTCGTATTTCTTGGAACATTACCGGGCGTATCGAGACGCCCTCAGAAGCGTCTGGCCGGGTGCCATTATGCTGTGCCAACCGCCGGTCATGGAAATACCCCCGGATTTGAAGGGAACAATCGACGATGACCCTAACATGGTGCATGCGGTACATTACTATGATGGCCTTACGCTCTTAACAAAGCACTGGTAAGCGAACTGATTTGGACATTGCTTCCACTTTGCTGACCATTGCAGGAACCGATTGTATAATGTAGATGTGATTGGTGTCCTGCGGGGCAAGTATCTCACCCCAGCATTTGCTGTCAAGATCGGAGAGTCAGCCATCCGGAATTGTCTGCGTGACCAGCTCAAGTTCCTCCGAGACGAAAGTCTAAGGTATATGGGGAATCATCCCCTGGTCTTTACCGAGATCGGTATCCCCTATGACATGGATGACAAATATGCATACAAGACCGGAAATTATAGCAGTCAAGTCAGTGCCATGGATGCGAACCACTTTGCATTAGAAGGAAGCAACGGCAATGGCTTTACATTGTGGCTCTATACCACTACGGTAAGCATTGAGGCCGCAATTGACCCGAGAAATATATACGACAGCTTACTGATCGCTGGACAGAACAACCACGAGTGGGGCGATAACTGGAATGGCGAGGATCTGTCAATCTACTCCCTCGACGACCTGGAGCTTCCGAGTGGAAAGCTTCTGGCGTTGGAGGGTGAGTCCCGATCGGATCCGGACCCTCATTCGCCCGCGTATTCGGAAAGTCAAGGCAACCCCGACAACCAGCGGGTTGGACCCGAGAACCTGAAGGATGCTCTGCCCCCACCTTCCATCACGTCGGAGTACACCCAGTCCAATGCGGATAAACTAGGGTTCCGGGCCGGGGAGGCCTTCATCCGGCCCAGTCCGATCTACACCCACGGTCTGGTCTCGAAGTATCTCTTTGATCTCCGCAACTGCACGTTCACTCTATCGTTGGTCGGCAAGGAAAGGCCCATTGGGGACGAGACGGCGACCGAAATTTATCTACCCGAGTTCCATTTCCCGGACACGGAGACGGTGGTCTCGGTCAGCAGTGGCGAGTGGACGATCGATTATACGGAGATCAACTCGATCAAGGTGCAGCGGCTTCGCTGGTGGCATATGGAAGGGGATCAGGATATCAAAATCCAAGGTGTCAAGCGGAAGCCGGGGGACGTGAGTGGCGTCTCGGGGGATGATCTGACTTATCTGGAGCAATGCCAGACGGGGGGTTGTAAGGTGATGTAGATGGCTGGACCATCGTGGGTCATTACCTGACGATATTTCCTTGGAGGCATAATGGCATTGTTGTGCTTAGTTGGGGGTTTCAATGTGGCCGTGTCACTATATCCTCCGTCATTAACTCAAGATGTTTCCTCATGTCAAGTTGTAGTATCTGTAGTGCCTATGGCCAGTGCCAGGCTTTCTGGTGACTGGTGGCGTGAACCGTACTCTGTCGTAAAGGAATACTCCGGACTAGAAAATGCTAAGAAGGAACCCGCTATTTAAGGGGCGCCTCCTTTTCAACCTAAGCGGCGAAGAGGGGAAAGGGTTGTTATCGATAAGCCAACCCCAGGAAGCGGTGAGGGCCAGGGCGGCGCGTGAGTGGTGCAAACCCCTCCGGACGCCCCAAGTCGGTGTGGTGATTGGAGCGGGAGCGCGTGGAAAATTCGCAGTGAGCTATTTATGATTATTGTTCTCACTTATTGTTGTTCTCTCTCTTCCCCTAAGCTTTTCCTTAAGGTACCCTTTCTCTCAGTCCACACATCTACACCTGCGTCCAGCCCGCGGTCGAGAGAACTTTGGGCTCCGGCAGAAGAAACAATTCCCTCCCACCACCCCATCTATACTGGCGCATCATCCCTAGTCCCCCCAACCCTTTCCCTTCATAAGCCCTTCAGTCCTTTAGGCAGAAATCTGAAACTCCAAAAGAAGCGCTGAGCCGCAACTGCCTCGGACGGCGGCTGCCGTGTGTCGCCCACCTTCTCTGGAACCTGCCCGTGGCTGATTGCGGCGGCGTTCTTTATTTGCCCAACGCAGTGCTACCTTACCGCAACGCCGGATCTTCCACTGGGAAAGTCAACTGGCTTTGCAAGGGCCTAGATCATGCCGGCATTGGTCCTGCCACTGAAGAAAGTCTTGAGGTGATCAATCTATACTTATCCTTCGCTCAACCCTGCGGCACTAGCCCAGCCCACACCTATTTATGGCGGCCGAGGCAGATCTATCGGAGGGCCACATGGCCGACATCATTCGTGCCCTCGAGCTCATCCACAGCCCCTCATCTACAAATGAGCTGCGCCGAGAGGCCCTGACCTTCGTGGAGGCTCAGAAGGAGAGCAAATCCGCGGCGCGTAATGGTTTTCTGTTGGCGTCCCCCGAACAGAGCAATCCCTTGGTTCGCTACTTTGGCTTGACTCTTCTGGACCACGTCTTGCGCCATACCTCCTTTGAAGCATCAGAGCAGATTGTGGCTCTCAGAGATTTGGTTCTAAAGCTGGCGGAGTCGATACGACCGGAAGATCCCCCGTACATACGCAACAAAATCCCGCAATTATGGGCAGAAGTCGCCAAACGGAGTTGGGGTCTGGATTGGAACGACATGGACACAACACTCGTCCAATTCTGGGGTGCCAGTTTGGTGCACAAGGAACTGGTCCTTTCGATTCTAGAAACTCTTTCCGAGGACATCTTCTACCGCGAGGACACAGTATCTTCCCTGCGCGGAACGGACCTCAATCGAGCCATGGTGGAGATCTGCACGCCTTTGGCGGTCTACGAGGATCTACACCCGAAGAAAGATGTTCTTGAGCTGCGCTGCGGGCCTGATGGCTGGCTCTCTCGCATCTGTATGTTCCTCCACGATTGTATAGGGAACATCCAGAGCTCGAAGCAGGCAAAAGATTCGGCTCTTAAAGCTCTAGCGACCCTCAAGTCCGTCCTTGCTTGGTCAATACCGAAGGCCATTCTCTCTTCGAACTGTGTTCCATGCATTGCCAGGGCTTTTACCTGCAGTGACGAACAAGTGCTGCTGGTAAGGAGACACCTAGCCTTCCCAGGCGGTGCGGAATAGACGATACTAATGGCACTCACTCTAGGCTGCGGTTGAAGCTCTACATGCATTGTATAGCCGGTCCAATATCGAGCTTGAGGGCTTTGAGCAACTTGTCCACTTGATGTATGAGACAGAATCCTTGAATGTGCTTCAGAAACTCTACGAATGGTCAGTTGTCGGGCCCGATGATGTCGATGACACGAGATATACAATCTGCAAAAAGCTTTCGGAGGTACGGAATATGCACTACAATTCTAAGATAATGGTTCACTAATGATTTGCCAAAAGATGTTGTCCTATGTTGCAGGGTTCCTCGAAGAAAAGACGTTTCCTTTGGAAAGCGTGCAAGGCGTCAACCTTCAATTCTTCTTTCACCTCACTGTCAGCGTTATTCAAAACCAAAGCCTCACAATCTCGATCCCCGTTCTTCATGTTTGGTCTAAATTAATCGCTTCGGAGAGAATTGGGAATACAGACCTGGTCACTGGCCTTGTGCCTTCGCTGCTGGGTATCTGCACCGAGCGATTGATTCGTTGGGAGTCATTCCCTGCAGATTCAGAGAGTCCTACGGTTGCTTTCCTAAACGAAGATATTGACACCGTTCCGGAGCGACATGCGTTCGTGGGTAACTATAGGCGATACTGCTCTTCCATCATCGAGACCATTGTTCAGAAGAGGCCACAGGAAGCAATCCCTCATATTTTATCGGGAGTTGACGCTAATCTAGACAATCTCTATGCTGGAGTGGAGCCCTTTAGCGTCAAATCGTTTTCCAAGAACTCAATCCCACTGATGCGTGCTGATACGCAGTTTGCCGTTGTGGAGGCAACCTTGAAGGGATATAATAAATGGGTATCTGCGCATGGAAAGATGCCCCAGCAGGATGAACAAAAACGAAGCGAAATGGAACAGACTTTAGAAGCATGGGCTTTCAAACTGATGCAGCGAAGCTTCGAGGATCCAATCCTTAAACAGCGGATCATTAAGCTTGTTGTCGATATATCAGCAAAGGCACTTGACAAAACTCCGAGCTTTGCGCTCAAAGCTTTAGAGTATATTCTCATGACACGTCTACCTGACCAGTCGGAATACCCAGTATACTCCGAATCTGTCAAGGAACTCCACGGCCTGACCAGCCATGAGCTCCGGAGGCTGGCCATGCGTTATGCTGACTACTTTGCGACCTTCTATGACTTGCTTGAGCCTAAAATCAAGGAGATTAGCATGGCTAACCGGGTGGATGACAAGCTTCAAATGGAATTGACGTCCATCCTCCTCATTATCATGTATGCCTCCACGCTTTGACTCAAATGGTTAAATACTGACCTGCCTAGGCAACGTGCAAACAATGTTGAACCGTACCTGCGCCAGTCTCGGCTCGTGTCTTTCGTTGAACCCATCAAACAAGCGTGGCAGGAAGACCAGTTTCGTAACATGAGCTCAACATTTGAAGGCTTTTGCGTTATGTTGGGATTGCAGAGCGTCGGGCCGTACATGCAAGCACGACAGGCGCCAAAACTTGCGGATTGGGCATCGGTGCCTCTGGATAGCGAGGGAAAGCTGATTCAAGAAGAAATGACGAGGAAATTTCAGGTACAGTGAATGCACTACTGTCCATGACTGCATACTGACTTCTAGAACAGCAACTACCTCTGAGAGGCACCAAGACCATGCTGGCGGTGTCATCAGACAAGCTCAAAAAGACGGACCAGGCCTACGAACTTGCGTGCAATGTCTGGCATGAAATTATTCCTATAATTTTACCAACGCTGCTGCAGCTTGTCAGGTAAGTCTTCTAAACATCATGGTTATCTGCCTTGCTAAACCGGACACAGTAACGCCCATGCCTTTCACAATCCAGAGAACTGGGGTGGCTTGCCTCATGACATGCGAGGGGTTGTTGAACGTATCCTGACCGACAGATTCTGGCAAGCTGGCATATCGACTGGCAGTCGGGATGAGTTCTATGCCAAGATTACTGCCTCGAGAGCCTCGCTTGAAGGATTTGCCTCCTCTGTAAGAGGCAAGATTCGGGCTGTTCGAGAGTCCTGCTACTCCATGTTGTTCAGCATGAGTCGGCTACGTGAGCATTTCTATGGGTTTTCAGAGCTTCCAGGGCCCCTGTCCCAGGCTCTGTTCAAGGACTCTCCCCACCTCTCGTCCCACCAGTTCTCTGTCCTTCTGAATATCTCGAGGTGCTTGATCGATGATTGTCCTGTCCGCTTCCGAGGCCATTTCCTGCCTCCGATGCTTGCCACACTGTTCACCAATATTGACAAGAAGGTAACGTCGGAATGGGATGCCATCGAACGGCAGAAAGAAGGCCTCGGGGGAGAGGGCGACCTGACGGACGAAATGAAGTCGGAGAGTATCTTACGACAATTGACGTACTCGGCGGTGATCTTCGTGGCAAGCCTCCTAGACCCGCAGCGAGGGGGTAGGTTTGCCATCATGTTATGGCTGTTCCATGCTGATGTCTCATTTCAGACCCCGACGACGAGCCGGCGGATCCCAGCGCGCCACAGGCGGCACCCGCCCTTTCTGACTCAATCCGGCACTTTGTTCTTTCTTCGCCGGAGATCTTTGAGCCTGTGATGCTCTTCTGCACCCATGCACTTCGTATGCGCGATACGCGGTGCTGCAGCATCATCACGCGTGTTATTCGCTCTATCCTGCAGGACTTTGCTCCTCCCAACAATACCCCCACTACGGTAACGATACGCGAGTTTATCTCTTCGGAAGTGCTCAAGGCCTGCATCACATCTGTGCACGAGCCTTATTTTGTCGACATGCAAAAGGATCTAGCCCAGCTCATTGCGTCCATCTGGCTCCTCTACGGGTCGACCAGCCCGACCCCGCGGTCCGTGATCCTCAGCCTTCCTGGCATGGACGAGCAACGGGTTGCCAACGCGGAGGCTGCTCTGATTCGATCCTCGGCAGCTCGACAGCAGCGCGCGTTGATCTTGGATCTTCTTGAAGGCTTGAGGGGTGTGAGTATCGCCGAACAAGGAAAGATCCTGGGCTCTCGGGAAGAACGCCGAAAGGCCCGGAGCGCGCTACAGGAGAGGTACATGAGTACCAGTGAGATGGACGGCCAGCAGAATCATAAAGTCGATATCAACGATGGCCCGGACCTCGCCGGCGTCGCGGACTTGTTCGGTTAGGTCGTCCCACCACATGGCCTGCTTTTGTATAGTATAGTGGCTTGATATCGTGCCGTTGCTCCTACGTCATAGGCACTTTTGCGGTTTTGGGATTCTCGCATATAAAGCACATAGACACCTAGGGAGGATTGGCAGCCAGGCAACCTAGCCAACTACCCGATGTAAGCAGCGGTTGATAGACACTTGCTGAGAAAACAAACATTAAAAAACACGCATTGCGGAACTGGCTGGTCTCTTTAGTTGGTATATCTACAGCATACAATAGCTCTTGACTGCTCTGGTGCACCTCTTGATCCTCGCGAAAGCGTCACCTCGCCCATAACACAATACTCCGGACCCATCCTTGCTAGCACATGAACCCCCCGATCAGATCATGCGCGCAAGATCCGCCCCGACGGGGTCGAATTGGGGAACCTGATGACACCATACTCAAACGCACGCAAATCTTCTATCCGGGCGCTTATTGGGTGACATTGGTAGGGGTATAGGTGAAAGTAGGGCGAACGAAGCTGTATCCCCAACCGTATTAGCCACCTGACACACCACACACCATACACCATACAGAACACCCCAATTACCCCTATGAAGGGAGAAAACATACCGATCCGAGTTGTAGATCTTCGAGTCCGTGCCGAGAAGCTCCTTCTCACGAGCCTTGTCGGCGAAGTACCGACGGGCCTGGTCACGGTCCTCCTCGGCCTGCAGCAGAGGGAGGATGTGCAGACGGCCCCAGATCTTCTCACGGGCGAGCTCGCTATACAAATCGTAAGTATCCATATATATATCTCATTCCTTTGCTTTTCATTCGTAGAGACTTGGTTGGTGGAGGGTAGGCACGTACTGCTGTTCACGAATACCGTAGAAGAGCTTGTAGTACCCGTAGGCCATGACGAGGTGCATGCCGACGATGTAGTAGATAGGGCGGAAGCCGCGGGCAGGGATGTTGCGCTAGAGATTACCATGACTCGTTAGTATTTGTTTAGTACTGTAGGATTGGATTGGATTGTCTTCTTTGGTAGTCGGTTTCATTTGTAGGGATGGATGGATGGATGGAGGCGGATGAATCGGGTACGCACCTTGTACTGCACGGGCAAATAGCCCCCCTGTGGGGGCATATCCTGAGGCATGGTGACGACTGACGATGGCGGCAGCCTTCAATGGCAAGGGGAGGGGGATTGCGGTGGGTTGGATGATATACGTTGGATATATGATGCGATGGGCGGATGAACTTGGAGTTGCGGGTCACGTGCATGTAGGGTGGTTTGGTAATGAGTGCTGAAGGAGGTTTGATTGGTGGGTGTGCGGGGCAATTCTTCGGCGCTTAGCATGGAGGGTTGGTTTGTGCCGTCTACTTCACTACTCACGACTCTTGTTCCGTTTATTGCGAATTGCTTCGATTGTTGCATAGGTTGTTTTACGGTACTTTGAATTGGCTATACACGATGGAGGAAGAAGGCCGACCTAGGAAGCTCCCCAAGCTCGACCATGACGAGGCGCAGGATTCCGAACCGAGAATGACGGGTGCGCTCGAGCACAATGGCGACAACGAACAATCGGTTGAATCTGGCAATGGAGCCAACGGCCCCGAGTCTACGCAGCAGACTGACGATGGCGTACCCAAGATCTCCAAGCGCGAGATGAAGCGCATGCGCCGGCGCGAGCAATGGGAAGGCCAGCGCGACCTGCGCCGAGCCAAGCGCAAGGAGAAGGGCATTGCCCGGAAAGAGAAGCGCCGGGCTGCGCTGGAGCAGGCAAAGGAGGATGGAACACTGGAGGAGCTCAAGAAGTCGTACGAGCGGACACACAAGCGATTCCGGAAGTCGACGCTCCTCCCGCTGACACTGGTCATTGACTGCGGATACGATGAGTTGATGCTGGAGAAGGAACGGATTTCGCTGGGATCGCAAATCACCCGGTCGTACTCGGATAACAGTCGCTCGGCGTATCGGTCGCATTTGGTGTTTTCGTCGTTCAACAAGCAGCTCAAGGAGCGGTTTGATACGAAGTTGAACAAGCATTATCTGAACTGGAAGGGGGTGCGCATTTTGTCGAATGACTTTGCCCAGGTCGCGGAGATGGCTAAGGAGTGGATGGTTGTTCCTGCGGGGGGGAGATTCGAGGGTGTGTTTGCTGATAAGACGGATGCGACGCCCGAGGATGGCGAGGTTATCTATCTGAGCAGTGACAGTCCCAATACGTTGACGGAGTTGAAGCCGTTCAGTACGTATATCATTGGTGGACTTGTGGATAAGAACCGGCACAAGGGCATTTGCCACAAACATGCGGTGGAGAAGGGCATCAAGACGGCGAAGCTGCCCATTGGGGACTACATCCAGATGGCGTCGCGCCAGGTGCTGGCGACGAACCACGTCGTTGAGATCATGCTGAAATGGTTGGAGCTGGGAGACTGGGGGAAGGCGTTCCTTGCGGTCATTCCCCAGCGCAAGGGTGGTACATTGAAGAAGACTGCTGGTGAGCAGTCAGAGGATGCCGAGGAGGTAGATGAAATTGCGGAGGAAGATGACAACGCTGAGGAGGACGAGGAGCAGGCTTTGGCGCAGGCCCAGCAGATTACGGACGAGGCCATTGAAGAGAACCAGCAGGCTCTGGATGAGGCCATGGAAGAGGCACCTGTGGAGGGTGACAAGGCTGGCGAGGCCAATTGATGGTGTCCATTTTGTACATATACGGCTATTTAAGCTTTTAAGAGCTGTCAGATAGAAGACGATTTCCTAGCAGTTGGGAGAACTGGATAATGAAGTTATGTTTAGTATAGCATTGATGACATAAGCTGCACCGCCACCGTCCGCCTGCGCCACTGGTTGCCACCGGGTGATCGATGACGGCAACCAAAACAACAACATCCGTTTCCATCTCTTTTTGTTTCTCTTCCAGAAGCTCCACCGAAGTTTGTTGCTTTCAGCGCTGCTGCTGCTTGAGCTGCCCTCCCCGACAATCTTCCCAGATTGAGGCCCCCCCCTTTACTTCCTTTTCCCCGTTGCCCTCTTTTCCCCCGCCCCAGCAACACACCTTCACAGTCGACTCGAGTAAACAAGGTTGCTGTTGCTGAGCAGCAAAGCACCTCCAGCCATGTTTGTGCTCCGCAACGGTATGTTCCTTCCTTATCAGGACACCTTGTCTTCACAGACCATCACCCGTCTGGTTGACTTGCCTCTACCCCGCCATCTACCCCTCCTTGACCTCCCTCACTCCCTGTCAACGGCCTCCCTCACCCCTTGATGTTCATACTGACGTATGCTTTTGGCACCTTCATCTAGTGAGCAAGTACCTCTTCGGAGACTCGTCCAAGGAATCTATCATCGAAATCCCTCAGGGCCAGCTCTATCTCGTTCGCCCTCTGTCACCCAAGGGCTACTCGGAGCTCATCTTCAAGGACGCTGCCGCTTCCATCCGACGCACCGGGCAGGAGTTCCAATACCAGCTCGTCATCCAACGCGCCTACGAAGAAGGTGAGGAAGAGCTTGGCGAAGACGACGACGACCAAGGCGGCAGCGACAGCCTGGACAAGGACGAGAAGGTCTTCCTTCTTGATCAGGCTCTGCATTTTCGCTCCGAAGTCCGTGAAGGCGGCGCGAAAATCCTAGCGTGGAGGGATCTGAGTGGCGATTTGGGCGATCTTTTTGAATTCGTCTGCGACCCCTCCGTGCCCTCGGATAAGGTTTCCACCTTCGAGCTCGCTGCTCTCCAGTGCCAGTACGAGCGTGCCTACCGACGGACCTCACAGAACGTGAGCCGGGAAGACCTGCAGGAGTTCTCTTTTCAAGAGGAAAAGCCCATCCCGTCCGCAAGTCCTATTGCTTCCCCAACAAAGTCACGTGCCCAGTCGCTGACGTCTGGAGAGTCAACCGCCGCTATGGTGAAGGACGTCGAGTACTCGCAGTCCAAGGGTATCATCAAGCCTGCGGCATCTGAGGAGCAGGCCACGGTTGCTCCACCTGCGGCCGAGCAGCCTGAGGCCAGGGAGATCCTCTCACAGGAACACGCAGAGCTGCATTTGTTCGATTTTGTGACCGGCACATTCGTTCTCCAGGCCTCCGCTGTTACTGCAACGGTTTCTGAGATCGGTGACTGGAAGTACTGGCTTCAGATCAGCGGCGATGACAAGGAATGGCTGGGACAAGCCGTGGTCGCTGACATCAACCCCGTTTTCAACTTCGAATACCTGTCTTTCATTTTCAACGCCTACGGCGAGGATGGCTCGGCGTTTTCCTGGCTCCTCCGCTTCAAGGACCAGGAGACCGAGGAGCGGTTCCAGGAGGGTCTCATGCAGGCACTCTGGGAGCAGCTGAACGAGATGAAGTGGACCAAGGTCAAGGACAATGACCGGGAGTATGTGTTGGATGCGTTCCAGGACCTTACGATGGAGGACGAGGAGCGTGAAGGTGCCGATGCCGAGGAGGAGGAAGAAGAAGAAGAGGAGGAAGAGGATGATCACTACGATGGGCAGCGCAGTGAACACTACGACTCCGACGAGGAGGAAGACGATGTAGTGACACGGGATGATGATGGAAACGTCAACTCGCAACTTGCCGTCGGTTACAAGCACGACCGCTCCTTCGTTGTCCGTGGCTCCAAGATCGGCGTCTTCAAGCACACCCCGGACAACAACCTCGAGTTCTCGACCAATATTTCCAAGGTGGAGACGCCCAATGGCAAGCTTTTCAGCCCGAAGAAGGTCATGCTGCATGCCGAAGACACCAATATGATCCTGCAGAATGGCGATGACCCGAACTCCCTGTACCGGATGGACTTGGAGTACGGTAAGATTGTCGATGAGTGGAAGGTCCACGACGACATCCCGGTCACGACCTTTGCCCCCGAGAGTGTAAGTAGTCTGCTTACGTTTTATGCTGTGGGCTATCTTCTAACTTGCTACAGAAATTCTCTCAAATGACCTCTGCGCAGCCCTTCATTGGTGCTTCCAAGAATGCCCTCTACCGGATTGATCCTCGTGTGACCGGAAACAAGCTGGTGGATGCAGATTTGAAGCAGTATGCCAGCAAGAACGAGTTCTCATCGGTAGCTACGACAGAGAAGGGATACATTGCCGTCGCCTCTAACAAGGGTGATATCCGTATGTTCGACCGTCTGGGAATTAACGCCAAGACCCATATCCCTGCCCTGGGAGAGCCGATCATTGGTCTGGACGTGTCTGCCGACGGTCGCTGGGTTCTTGCCACCTGCCGGACGTATCTCCTCCTCATCGACTCGCTGCAGAAGGATGGCAAGAACGAAGGCAAGCTGGGCTTCGAGCGCTCGTTTGCCAAAGACTCCAAGCCGCAGCCTCGTCGCCTGGGTCTGCAGCCTGCACACGTGGCCCAGTTCCAGCACGAGACGAAGAAGCCTATCGCATTCACGCAGGCCCGGTTCAACACTGGTGTCGACAGCACCGAAACCTCGATTGTCACAGCTACTGGTCCTTTCATTGTCACCTGGAGCTTGAAGAAGGTGATTGCTGGCCGCAAGGACCCCTACACGATCAAGCGGTACGGCGAAGACGTAATGGCGGACAACTTCCGGTTCGGCTCGGACAAGAACGTCATTGTGGCTCTGCCCAACGAAGTCAACATGGTTGCGAAGAGGAGCCTGCTGAAGCCCACGCGGGAGAGTATCGCTGGACCCCCTATGACCCCACGTCGGCGGACGCAGTGGGGCAGCCGGTTGGGACGGGAGGACATTGTCAATTCTCCCTACTGAGCTGGCCTTGTTCACCTTGTTTTTCTGCGCATCGCATACCCCTTTTGTTGGTTCTTTTCGATTTCTGCTTTTACACTGAAGCTGTTGTAAGACGCTTTAATGTCCTTTCACGGTGCTATGAACGGATGGCGAACGGTGGCAATTGCAACTTGAGCATTTATGATTTACTTCGAATTATCGGTAGCTGGTAATAAGACTACGAATCACGATTGATGGATGATATTCATATTCGGGGCCCGCTGGGCACCTATATGCAATTAGACTCGACCTGGGTATCCTGTACCTATCGCCAGCGCTGCCGTCAGTCTTTCGTAGCCACCGGGTAGGCAGCCCATGGCATGCCCCTGTCGGGGGAGAGCTGCTCTGCTCATCCATGTCCAACGAGCACCAAGCAATCTGACATTATTGACCAATCTGCCCGCAGATAGTAGTCACGCTCCTTGAGCTCTATCCTTCGATGCATTTTCCCTGCGAAGTCCGAAGTATAGCAACCCCACCCCATCACATACCAATACCGTGTGGTACTCAAGAGCCGACATACCACACTTCGACGCCAATGATATCGAACTTGACACCTTCGTCTGAGAGCGGCTCGTTCCCGAATGTCTGGCAGGCCGCGCTGACGCCTTTTTCGAGACTGGAATCAACCCATAGTCCGTAGTGTCCGTCACTGATTCGTCAGTATCATTACCACAAATATAAAACAGCAAGGACTGAAGACAGAAAACAAGGGGGCATAACTCACCCTCCACCCAAGCTCAAAAACCCCGTCTCACAAAAAATCATGTAATCATTCACCCCGCTATACGGAAACGCCTTGAAACGAATCTGCTCCGGGGTAACCGTCCCACTTGTCCTTCCACTCGCCGTGCCCGACCCCGTTGCCGTGCTCGGAGACAGCCACTTATCGCCTCCGCCTGTCCGCAGCGTCGTTGACCGGCCCGCATTCGTCGTATCCGCGGACGGCGGCAACGGGAACCCGGCCTTTTCCAACGCCTCTGCGCCTGCGCCCGCACCATCCAGATCCGAGGCGAAGTTCAGCATGGCGGTCGCGGGCGGGAGGACGCTCGCTCGCCAGAGGAAGCATTCACCGGTGCCGTAGTAGTGGGAGTCGGGGTGCGGGGGATCGGTCATGTAGGCGCCGAAGACGGCGGTGGAGGAGGGCGAGGCATCGCGGATGACGAGGACGTAGCCGGCGCGAGGGCTGCGGGAGGATATGTCGCGGCAGTGGTCGTACAGAGTGGAGAGGGAGGCGCCGTCGCGGTCGAGACTGTAGGCTAGATGCCAGTTGTTGATGAGTTGGAGGCGCGGGGGCACGAGGAGGCGGATTTCTTCAGCCAGGGAACGGGTGAGAAGTGTGGAGGGGTCGGAGAGGGTGAGAGGGGTGAGAGGGGGAGGTTGGAAGGGAGAGGCGGTGCGGACGGGCGTGAAGACTTGGTCGGTCTGGCGGCGCATGGTGGTGTTGTTGTTGTTGGTGTTGGTGTTGGTGTTGTTGGGGGGGTCGGTGAGACGGCGGTAGAGACCGGAGACGACGTGGGTGACGGGGTAGGAGAAATAAGAGGCGGCGGATTGGTGTAGCGAGTTGATGGAGCTGTTTTTGGTGGAGGATTGTGGTGGAGGACGAGACCCGGATCTCGAGCTCGAGGAGGACGACATGCGGGCCAGTGGGCGGGAGGCGAGTAGGGGATGAGACGGGGGAATTAATAATGAAGGGGGTGGAGATGATGCAATTGAGGTGGATGGAGGGGATGAAAAGGAGGAGATAAAAGGAGATATAGTGGAGGAGGGGAGCAGAAGATAAGGTGATGGGAGCAGGAAATGGGGAGATTGGAGAGGCCAGGCAATCAAGCTGCGGCGGGCCGGGCGCTTTATACTTCGGGTCCCCGCTTATTGGTAGACCATCCTATACTGAGTAACGTATGACTATTTGGAGTGCAATTTGGACAAATGAACTATCTGAGCATCATGACATTCCCTTGAATCCTATTTCTGCCACACCTGCTCAACAAACGCCACTAAATCTGCCTTGAGCTCGCGGGGGTGCTCCAGCGCGGCAAAATGTCCGCCCTGCATGGGTCAGTTTCAGTGCTCCAGCACATTAGTTTCACATTATCCTACCTCAGCATGATCCCGGAAGAATACGAGATCGCCCGTCGTGGCAACCCAGCTCCGAGGAACCGGGACAATCTCCTTGGGGAAGTACGAGTACCCGAACGGCTTGTGGATATATAGTTCCTTGCCCAGCCTCGCGGTCGCATTTGGGGGGAGAGGCGTGGTCTATGATCGTCAGTCCCACCATACATATCCTACTTATCGATCTCAATGATCACTCTACCTCACGATAGGGGTAGATTGCCCGCGGATAGCTCTCAGTAAGCCAGTAGAGTGTCACCATCTCGAGAATCGTCGCAGACGGCAGAGGCTTGTCCACCCATTGGAGGTATTTTTCGCCAACCCTGGATCCAGCCGGTTAAACAAAATCGTCAGTATGTACTGAAAGCATGTTCCTCACCAGGCGAGCAAAGCGATCGGGTTACTGGCCAGTACATGGCCAATCGTACTGGGTCGAGTCCCTTGCTCTAGGGCATACCCCAAGCCTCTGGTCACGAACTCCTCCATCCGCGCGACTCCCCGCTTCTCAACAGCTGTCAAGCTCTCGATTGACATGCCCCCTGGAGGAGATGGCATGGGGCACATGTTCACTAGTCTGGTTGGTGTCTCGTGAGCCGGCATGGAGGGTTATCACTTACAATGCACCGCTAGGGGAATCAGCACGGCCGCAGGAAACCAGATGTAGAGAGCACCGACCTTTGCAAGCCTCGAATCCCACGCCTAGCACCCGTCCTACAAAGGCACCGATATCCCCTCCCTGCACCACATAGCCACTGCCAAACCCGAGGTCCTTCATCAGCTGATCCACGACGCAGGCCATGTCAGCCAGGCCAAAAGTCTTGTCCAACGGAGGACCAGAAGAGAAGGTGTACCCAGGGAATGAGGGAACAACGAGATGATAGGGGAGGGTTTCCGGGGAGAACTCCTCGCGGAAGAGCTGGAGGATGGTGAGGAATTCGGCGAAATTGCCTGCGATAGCTTATTAAACCTGCTTGGACACGGTCCGGCTGGTACTACCTGGCCACCCATGAAGCAACACCACGGGCACAGCATCCTCTCGTTCAGAGAAAAGAGCGGCAAAATGCACATTAATGCCCTCAATGTCGACAGTGAACTGAGGGAATTCATTCATCCGAGCTTCAAATGCTCGCCTAGCAGGGTCAGCCGTGCAGATAGATCGAACTGGCCGAGACTAGAGACCAGTCAAACTCCGTCAACCATTTCTCTCGCATGGTCGATAGCCATTCAGAGGTAATGCCAAAGCGACCATCTGGCTGCGAATTCTCGAACGTGGGAGGGGCGATTCGAGACAGTTGGACCAGAGACTTTAGATCGGCCAACTGATCATCGGGAACGGACACGCTGAAGGGAACGGGGGAGACCCTCGCCGCGGAGGGGAGCTTGCTGAAGGGGGCTGACATGATGGCTATGTACTTGGACCGATGAGACGAGTTGTTGCAGATTGAGAAATGGAGAGGGGAGACGAGGGGCAGATGTACCGTATGCTTTCGGCGGGGTTGCACCACATCCGAGGAGTGCCTTTCATTGTCCTCGGTTGACCTTCCTGCGACCTACCCCTCTAAACGCATAGTGGCTGCCTCTTCACGACATCTGACGACGATATACGAGGAGCAGAAGACCAAGCAGGCCTGTATAGATGCAGCCATCTCCTGTTTATGATATTTTAGATCCTGTCGTTGCTGTTTTACTCTTCCTCTCCAGAGACCAGCACTGGATGGATACAGCTCGACACTGACAGGAGATCACTCGACCCCAGGAAGACCTCCCTCAATACGAAGTCACTATAGCTATAATTGCTATTCCTCTCTCCCAATCCCTCATCAGTACTTCTCCCGTCAACATTACCCTCTAACAGCAAGCCAGCATCCCTCGCTTCTTCCTCTGCCATCAGCTCGCCACTCGGTCTGGCCCTGTTCAAGGCATCAGCCTGGCCGGCCAGATCGCCATCATCACTGGCTCCAACATCGGAATCGGCTTCGAAACCAGCTATCGGCTCTTCTCCCTCCATCTCGGCCAACTCTTTTTCACCAAACCAACGAAACAAGTTTCTCCCCGCCTCTCCTTGATAGTTATAAAATCCGCTCCGCCGGGGCCCGGTCAATACTCATGGTCCAATCTCGACCACGATCAAACATTTACAGACGCCGTCGCAGATATATTCATATGTCGAATCGCCAGGCTCGGCTGCTGCAGGAGCCCGAGTGTTTACCGGTGCTACCGTATTCATGAACGGTCTTCCTCGCTCCAGCAGATCGTCCCATACGTATTAGCATCTTGCTTAATACATTATACGAGGAGCTATGGGAAGTAGCCTAGCTGAATTGCCGTAAAATGGGACCGATAAATCGTAGGGGGGAAAGGAGGTGGGCTACTGCACAGCCGTGAAGGGAACCATGGCTGAGCTTGCGTTTACGAAGATGTTGGTGCCAATGGTCCCTCCTAGTCTTCATTCTCTTAAAAACTGTCTTCTGGCCGAAGAGTGGGCTTCTCCATAATAATAATAACCTTATTTCGGCGACGGTCTAGGGCCTGGATTCTCCACCACCGGTCCAAGAAACCCACCAGACGTGACTTCGGTCTTCCGGAGGTCGGGTGATAGTCAGAAGCCCAGCACGTCGAGAACAACAGGTCTCCTACTAGTCACCAGCTGGAGCAGTTAAATATGGTGGGTTTGCTGTTTAGATTCTTCCGCACGCATTGTCAGGAACCGGGCGGGAAAAGCCTTAGTCCGAAATAGCCGCCAATCAACCCTGGGGGGCAGCGGGTGGTCTCCGACTACTTTCCGTCTATCAGCTATCTACGGAGTACTGTCGCTCCACTCCGGCAGGTGTCCGGTTCATCTCGAAGTCCTGCACGGATTCTCGTCACCAACTGTGCCTCTTTACCTTCGAGCCATGTTGAAACGCGCCTTTTCCGCGCGGGCCGCGTGGCTGATGCCTCGTCGACAAGCTTCCATCAACCAGAGTCCACCAAGGAGGTTCGCAACTGATCACCCACGCGTGTCCAACGGTAATCTACGAAAGAGAAAACTCCGCAGGACCGTCCCTTCACTGCTAAGCTCAATTCCCCCCTAGAATGCATTCCGGACGAGTCGCTTTTCTCATATTCCTCTGGACGATTCCTCTACAACGAACAGGCACGTCTTCTAGAACGACACGTGAAGTTTGATGTTCCTGCACTGAAGCAGGTTGTCGCAAAGCATGTCGGTCATGGGCGTGTTAGGGAGCTTGTCAAGCTCAGTGAAGGGGGGTTCAATCGTGTGCTACTAGCCACCATGGAAGACGGGTTTCGGGCCATAGTAAAGATCCCGTACTGGATATCCGTGCCGAAGACATATGCGACAGCTAGTGAAGTTGCAACCCTGAAATTCCTTCGTTCCAAGGGTATACCTGTTCCTGAAGTGTATGGCTGGTCGTCGACCGCCGACAACCCCGTCGGTATTGAGTACATTGTCATGGAACATGCCGCGGGGGTGGGCGCTGATACTCGTTGGTTCAGCAATACAAAACATCAAAAGCATGCGCTGGTAACGGGGATCGTTGACATTGAGAAAAAGCTGTTCAGCATTCCTTTTGGTGCTGTTGGGAGCCTTTATTTCAAGAGTGACCTTCCACCCCAGTTACAGGGCCCGCTATATGTGGCGGGCACGCCGGACGAAGCCGGGGACTCGGAGACCTACTGCATTGGGCCAATCTCTGATTATATGTTCTGGTATGGGCAGCGGGCTGAGATGGAGCTAGACAGAGGACCATGTATGCTTGTTCCCCGATGTGAAGTTGTAGGTACGCGAACGACAAGCTGATCCGTCTCCCAGGGCGCGACCCGAAGAACTTTCTTCTTGCAACAGCCGAGAAGGAAATCAAGTGGATCCAGAAGTTTGGAAAGCCCCTGGAAAGTGACTTTCCTCACAACACCGTCTTTCCTGGAGTTAAAAAACCCCAGGATTACCTGGGCCTCCTCGAAAAGTACCTAGCAATCGCACCGTATCTTCTTCCAAGGGAGCCTGGAAATAATTTGAACCGACCTACTTTACGCCATCCCGGTAAGTTCGCCGTGCAATCCACCGAATAATGATGCCTTGTGGTCTAATTACCAAGGCAAGACCTCACCCCCAGCAACGTCTTCATCTGCCCCGACACATTCAAAGTCACATCCATCATTGACTGGCAACACACTGTAACCACGCCATTGCTTTTTGCTGCTGGATACCCCAAGCTTTTTGAGAATCCTGAGCCTGAGCCGCCCACCGGCTTGATAGCACCAAAATATCCACCAGGTTACGATGATATGAATCCCGAAGAAAAGTCTCAGGTCGATGAGCTCATTCGCCGGCAAAGTCTCTTCTACCTCTATCGTGTCTTCAACGGCGGCCTCAACAAACTACACCTCGAAGCCCTGCAAGACCCGCTCGTTCTACAACGCCAGCACCTCGTGGATTCCGCAGGCCGCCAATGGTCGGGAAACCTCATGACGCTACGTGGGGCCCTGATGCGCATACGTGATCTTTGGCCTCATCTCGGCGGCAAGGATGCCCATCTTGAATGTCCTATAGACTTCTCGGAACAAGAAGCACGTGAGCAGACTGAGAACGAACCTATGTGGTACAACTCGAACACACTCGTCAGTCATTGGCGCGACGAACTTGGAGGGCTCTCAGAAGAAGGCTGGCTGCCTGCTGAGAAGTATGATGCGGCTGTGAAGAGGAATGAATCCCTGAAAGCTGAATTCTCGGACGGCGGCAGTCCAGATGAGCTGCAGAAAATCGAACGTGGTTGGCCGTTTCAGGATCACGAGGAGTTCTTTTGAGAACGGGTACTTGATCATCGGCTGTCAGCAGTCTACGGGCGTTTAGGTAGTTGTTTGTTGAAGGAACTTGAACGCGCTGGTTGGATTCCGGGAAGCCCCCCACAATTACTGACGCTCTCTACTCACCTCCATTCAACAGTTTCCAGTCATCCTGTTTTCTATCATTCTCAATTTTCCCGCCTCAGTCTCAGCGAGAGCCCCTAAAACGAGAGGAAGAAACCAAAGAAAGAACAACGCAATGCCGTCTACCATCAAGAGCATCTACAACGCTGTCAAATACATCTGCCAGCGGCCTGCCGACCTCAAGAAGTTCTTCATTCCCACTGTCAACCGAGGCAAGACGGTCTGGCCGAAGACCCAGGCGGACTTGCTCAAGTACGGCGTCCGATGGGATTACGATGGCAAGGAGTACCATAAGTATCAGCTGCAGCCAAATGCTGGCAAAATCCCTTCCTCTATCAAACAGTGGCGCGAGAAGAACGGCGGGACTCATGCGGTCATGACCACTCTATACATTCCCAAGGGCTTCGAGCCCGAGGCGGAGGTTTTTGAACAAGCGATGGAGGAAGGCCATTGAGAATATTCCCTGACCCTGGTATCGGTACGTCACGGTCTATCTTCCTCTCTCTGGCCCGTAGTTCTGGTTCGATTTCACAATATCTGTTGTCCTCATAGTGATATACCATTCGGCCTATGCGTGAGGGTTGCAAGGCTAGGAGCGATAATACTCTTGTCCGGGCAAGGGTTCTGACGTGTCTCATGCTGGTAACCGCAGATTGGGCGCTAGAGGTCCATTGGCTCATCCGAGGCGTTTCCAGGTGGATGTTTGTAGTACATGAGAACCTATGTTTGAGAAACTTTATCTAGATCATATTACTGTCTGTTTGGTTTGTATGATTCAGAGAGAATGGATATCTCGGCATATTGCTGATTTCGATGTACCATCAACCATACCGTCACAATGTGCCCTATGATACCAAATGCTGCGTCGGTCACCAATTGATACAGATACCAGATACTACGTTACCGGCTATGTATGTACTAGGACATAGACTGCTGGCCCATGGATTATGTCCCTACTCCTTACAAAAAAAATCCCAAGAAGAGGAGCGCGGTATCCAGTTAAACGTAGTAGGGATTACCAACTCCCCAGTCCTGACACCCGAACAATAAACTTCATAGTCCAAATGTTATACTATCAAACCAGGACTAAGACGGCGCATCCGAGGCTTCTTTCTCTCTGTCTTAATGTGTCCTCGCCCTGCTTCGGACAGGGATACCCTCTCAACCACAACAAAAAAAAAACGAAAAAAGAAACCGACAAGGACGCGATTTGAACGCGCGACCCCTAAGGGATAAGATAACTTCCGTGAGGAATTCACTGTTGTATAATTAATATCTTGCTTTTTAAGGTAGTTGATGGAGTTGGCACATACAGTCTTACGTCTTAACCACTCGACCACCTTGCCTGTACTGCCGGACTTGGCTAAAGCTAGTGATAAGCTCATTGACGAGGTAGCCATGTTTCTTAGCTTTCTAGGTGATTGTTTATTTATGCATGAGTGTTGGGATTGGGATTGGGAGGGACCTTGAGGGGTTTTATCTCGTGGTGTGGGTTTGGAGTTCGGGTACGGATTATGGAATGTCTTCTATCGAAGAAAGTATGTTAGGGTTCTGGTTCTGAGTGTCTGCTAGTGCTATTGCTTGATGATTGAATGTCGAATGATGAAAGGAATCGAGTGTGCGTGTCTGCTTGTCATATAAGGCGAGAGGCTATGGTGGGGTGGCTCTCATGTATAAGGTGCTTGTATATCTGTGGTTGATGGTACTGGCCAATGTGCGTTACGGTGAATGAGGATATCACATTCTGGTCAAGAACAAGTAGGATTCCCACATCACTACAAATAGTCCCTTGTGCGCTCCTCACAAAACTCCCAGAACTCCTTTGCGCGTCCCGTTCCCCCGTCTTCCTGCGTCTTCATCGCGTTCAGCAAGTTCGGCGCTACCGTCTGATGAATCCGCCCCCAGGGAATGACATAGGCGCCGTTGTTTTCGAGGCCCAGATCCGGAGACAACCCGGCGTAGAGCACCGTGTGAGCAGCCAAAGATGGACTATGCAGTAGCGGCCAGGAGAGAATCTTCATCCAGCGCGCGTTCCGGAGAAGATTCGTGTTAGCGGCGCCTGGGTTCTGCGCGACGCTAACAATCCCCTGTGCGCCGTACCGTCGGGCCATTTCCACGGCCAGAAACCAGTTCCCTAGCTTGGAGGTGACATAGTTGCGGACCACGTCCTGGGGTGGGTTCGTCAGCTCTGACATGATGATTCCCTCGGGGGGTGCGGAGAGCTCGGCGACTTGACTGCTTGTCCAGATGACGCGGGCGGAACCGGTAGGAGAGGGATCTGATGCCGCTGCGGCCTCGAGTAGGGGGGTTAGAAGTTGGGTAAGTAGGAAGGGACCTAGGCAGTTGGTTGCGAGTTGAAGCTCGATGCCCTGCTTGGAGACACTGCCCACCGGGGGCTGGGAGACGCCTGCGTTGTTGAATAGCAGATCCAGCTTGGATTCTTTCGTTCGGAAGGCGTCCGCTGTGGCCTTGATGGTGGTGAGGTCGTCGAGATGTAGTGGAAGAAACTCCAGAGTACCGGGGCTGATTTCACCCTCGGTCTGGGGCACGGCTTGCTGGATGGCTTGTATGGCAGCTTGGGCCTTAGCCTCCGAGCGCCCCCCTATGTAGACTTTGGCGCCTTTGCGGTAAAGCATCTTGGCTAGCTCGAAGCCAATGCCTGATGCACCGCCGGTGATCAGGACGACCTTGCCAGGTTGCCGGGGGAACTCATCGGGCGTGAAGGTCGGCCGAGGGGGGAAGAACTGAGAGAATTGGGCTCCCATTGTGGAAGGATGCAGGGAAATGACATGACGAGATTCTCAAGGGGGATTCGTTCTCGTCATATTTAAGCCTAGAGCAGGCAGGAGTTCCGATGGACCCTGAAACCAATATGCGGGCTCATGTCTATGTATTGTTGACTGGTAGATAGGATTCCCTTGCAATTCGTCCCTGAGGCTGACCGATGTTTAGACGACCGGACCAACCGGCGGCCTATCCCCGGGCCTTGTTTAGCGGCGTGAGGGTTGGACTGCGCTAACCTGCGGGTCTGCTATGGACTATGGAGTATGGGATCTCTTAGCGTGAGACAGGAGAGGTGGTAAAGACAATAAGGGACATCGTGATGCGATACTAACCTTGGTAGATGGCGTTCGTTAGTGCTCATCTTGCTGGGCTGGTTCGATTCACCAGCAAGAAACCTGTCAGCCATCTTCAAATACCCTATTCTGAGGATACTAGCCTCGCAATAATGCTCACTACAAGCCCATACCAGAGCCAAAGAATATGCATTTGAGAGGTTGTCACTTCCCTCCACCACAAGGCGACTATTCCACTCTCTGACTAAGCATCGCGGGCGGTTTTGAAGAACCGTGCAAAAACCCAAACAGGCAATATCGATTGCATGCACGTTCCTTCTATAGAGGATCTAGAGAGCTGCAATCATCATGACTCCCCAGCATCCCTCCTCCGCCACCACCATCTTCCTCGACCAGCCCCCGAGCTGCCTCCAATTCCACCCCTCCTCTCCAAACCATTTCCTCGTAGGCACCTATCTCCTCTCCCAGCACAAAGACGACTCCGCCGACAGCATACAACAAACCAAAACCGGCAGTCTGCAACTATGGCATTTGAATCCTGCCACCAACGAACTGTACCCACTCCCCCTCCCTCACTCTACATGAGGAATATGCTAACAAAGCAACAGAACTCTCCGTCAAAAATACCCTGTTCCGTACGCGGTCTTCGACCTGCACTTCCACCCAACTGATCCTACTCTCGCTGCCATTGCCACCAGCGCAGCCTCGGTGGTATTCTTCCGCATTACTCCCCCTAGTGAGGGAGCGAGCGAGAGCGAGGGACCCTTCATCACGGAACTGCACACGCAATCCGTCCACGAAGATCCCTCTATCCCAGCACTCTATCTCGCCTGGTTACCGCGGAACTGGCCTTCCATTCCTAGTGATGGTAACACCAATGATGACGGCTTCGCAGTCACGTTCTCCGACGGAAGAACCACCCTATTCCATCATCCCTCTCCCTCCCCCTCCTCATCCCCAACCCCAATCACAGAGGGCGCCTCCTACCCCGCAACCCAAGAAATCGAAGTCTGGTACGTAGCAGCAGCTACCTACCCTTCCTCCTCCTCAGAGTCCCAAAAAGAAGACCAAAAGGAGGTTGCGCCATACCTCTTCACAGGCAACGACTTCGGCTCTCTGCACACCCGATCTTTCACCCCCACAGAGCCAGAAACATGTCTTCTCTCCCATGACGACCGAGCCCGGCACCACACTGCCGGAGTCACATCCATCCTACCCCTCCCTGTTCCCATGACTGATGGCGCGCCGTGGTTGCTTACGGGTAGTTATGATGAGTCTCTGAGGGTGTATCATGCCTCCCGGCGGGGGGAGGTCCTTGGGGAGGTGGGGCTGGGGGGTGGGGTTTGGAGGTTACAGATCTTGTCGACTACGAATACCTCCTCTTCGGATGGGGCGGAGTGGGAGTTTTTGGTGCTGGCGAGTTGTATGCATGCGGGGACGAGGGTGGTGAGGGTGCGGATGGTTCCCGGGGAAAGTTGTGAGATGGAGGTGGTGGCGGAATTTACGGAGCATGAGAGTATGAATTATGCGTCGGATGTGTGGAAGCCCAAGGGAGGGTATGAGTTGCAAGGGGTAGAGGATGGGGAATTGTTGTGTGTGTCTAGTAGCTTCTATGATCGGAGGGTTTGCGTGTGGCGGGTGAATGTATGATTGCATGATTATCTGATTGTATGATTCTACAGGAAAACGGGGGTTCAAAGTAAGGTGTAGAGGAAGTCGTGAGATGCGCTGAAGGGTCATGATGCAGAGTGATAACAACAGGTATACAAACAAAACAAGCCCCGCCCGGAACCCAATTGAAATCTAAATTCAAATCCAACAAACTAGACGATCGTCTCCAGCTCGCGCGCATAGCCGATCGCATTCTCGATGATCGTGCCGCTAGCCACGAGAATATCCTTCTCAGACCGGGCAGCAGCCTCAGGCTCAACGGGGAAGTATATACGACCATCACGCAAGACCCAGCCGCGCTGCTGGGCGAACTCGATCACAGCGCCTTCCGAGTCCAGGAAGAGGAGGTTCTTGGCGTTGGAAATCGGGAGCGACGGGTACGCTTTCTCGGAGCAGTCGGCGATTTCGCTGCGGATGGTTCCCACGAGCACCTAAACCATCATCCCCATTAGCCAACCTCAACCACACCCAACAATCATTAATGCAAAAAAAGAGAACAACTCACATTCGAAAACAACTTAAAATCCTCCGACGGGACCCTCTCCGAGTTCGTCTCCCTCCAGACCTTATCATAGCTCCCCTCCATCAAATTCCGCTCCAACTCCACGGGATACTTAATAAACGGATCATCCTCGACGCTCTTCCCCTTGAGACTCGCCTCCTCAACCAATCCCTCCAGCACCGTATGGAAGCTCGTGCTATCGCCCATAGTCAACAACAGGAGGAGATACAATCCCGTGATCTTGCTGCGCTGGCTGTTCCGGATATCCACGGCGCCAGCGCTCGAGCTGTCACGCTCCAGGTCATAGAATGGCTGCAGCTGCTGGTAGTATCGTGTGAAGGTAGGTGCGTCGGTCTGGCGGATGGAGGAGAGGGCTCCGAGCTCGAGGACCTCGCGGGCCAGGGCGACCAGCTCGGCGGGGGCGGAGGGAGTGGGAATCAGGACATTCTGGAGCAGGAGGGCTCGTTTGGCGCGGCTGAGGAGGTCGTTGGCGGAGGAGAATTGTCCCCGGCTGAGGGCGCTGTGGAGCTCGGTCACGATGGCCTGGAGGTCGGTGGCCATTTTGGCGGTAGTGGATGGGGGTGTGCCGGCGATGAAGGGTTGTTGGGAAGGGGGTAAGGTGTTGGAGAGATGGGAGAAAGGTAGGTGGATCTGGTGAGGTGTGGTGTGGTTTGGAGGATGATGCTGGTCGTGACGTTGGCAGCGGCAGCTTCCAGGAGCTTCGCCGACAGGGTAGTCACGTGATATCGCCATACTTACCGTCATAGTAGACAGGTGATATTATTGTGGCTTTTCCTTTGTTTATGATTACTCCGTACTGTGCTCTGAATTGGTCTTTTATAAGAAGGTAGGTAATAGTTGGATACGTATCTAGGCTTGAGTAATAAGCAACGCGAGCTGCGCGACTACGAATCTTTAACAATCTGCTCCAAAGTTTGATAGAAAGGCGTCCCGAGGCCGGTGACCGGATCCCATCCCTTAGTGGCATTCCAGCTTGCGTACGGAACCAGAGCTCCTCCGAATAACCCATCGCAGCCCACTGAGCCTCCATGCACAATATCTGTGAAACCTGTCTGATTCAATGAGTACAGCCACGGATTGAGAAACCCTAATGTGGGTTTACCCTGCTGGAGCCGCGCTGCATTCAATAGAGAGATAATTGCCGCAAAGACAGGGGCCGCAGCACTGAGATGGATTAGCTCGCTTCAGGTGAAAGCAACAGATACTGACCTGGTGCCTGCAGTTTGCAGCCACTCCCCGTGGTCTCGGATGACAAAGCTGCTGGCTTGGGCTGCAACATCTGGAATGCCTCTCCCATTCGGGTTGTAGAGTCCGTCCCATTTGCCTCCCAGGCTATTAAGGTAACTTTGCACGCTTGCGTTTTGATATGATGGACGAGCGAAGCGCTCTGAGAACCCTCCTCCCGAGAATTCAACTGCTCTTTCGGGATTGACACCCTCAGTGCCACCCACGGCGGTGACAAAAGGACATGAGGCCGGGAATATAGGTTGAAAGCGGATACTCTGGGTTCCATCATTGGAGAGACAAGACCCCCCTACGCCCGAGTCTCCGCTGCTGAAAATCACAGACACCCCCCGTGCCCCTAGCTGGGCGAAAAGATTGCATGTGGCTCGTGTATACTGCTCCGGAACGCTCTGTTCATCTTCGCCATAGGATGTGCTGAGTACCGCGGGTAGCTCATCATCTGGAAGATCTAGCAGGTACAGAAGCTGTTCGAGATACGGCTCGTTGGTCGAGCCATCGGTGCTCAACTCACCCAGGTCAGATATGGATGGCCCGCGTCCCGCAGTGGTGTAGAATGTCGTATTGGCATCATACGCCACTGCGATAGCATATTGAATGTCGAGGCTTGCTTCCGTGCTCAACTGGGACGAGCTTTGTAGATTAAGACCACCATTGATCGAAACAACCGAGAAGTTGGCGCCTGTGCTATTCGGTGCGTACACGTCCATGAATTGCTCAAGGTCGCTGTAGCGTGCGTACTGGTCCAGATAACCGGAAACGCCGAGTACATTACTTGGGTCAGGGTCCGCTCTAGTGTCAAAAATTCCATAAAGTTGACGAAGGCAACCTGGCGTTACGGCTGTTGAGCAGTTTCCATTTGGGTCATCGACGTCGATTGTCACTGGCACGAAACCCGGCAAACTTGTCTGCGTCTTAGGCTGTCCGAAGTGGGTCGTTGGTTGAATCATCTGAAGGTAGGGATCAATATTCTCAGGGACCGAGTACTTGAGCGTCCTAATCTGTGTCACGTTCGTCCCCGGGCGGTGGAAGCTATGGAATTCCGTCCGCATCATCGACTCTGCTTTGGACAAAGGGACTGTAAAAGCGATCCAGTCTCCATGCTCCTTGATAGAATCTGAGGGAACAAGCTCAGACTCCAACCAGGACAGGATCGTCTCGGATGCTTGATCGGACGGACGCAGGAAGGCCCGAACGTCCTCGCGTTTCATATGCTTTCCATAGCTTTGATGACCAGGCGTGGAAAGATCGATGACTTTCTGTTCAAATTCTGCCTTGTATTCGTGGTCTATCGCCAACCAAAATTTCATCGAAGTGGATGGCGAGGGAGTGGCGCCTTTCTCCCATCCACTCGGTACGCTGTTCAGTTGTTCAACCACCACATATCTCGACCTAGCAGCCACTGCTGCGTGAAAGAGGGACAGAAGCCCTATGAGGTATTTGACATAGATCATCACTCCGACGTTGCATCAAACAATATAAGAGAGCTGGCAACTGTGGAATCCCAAGCTGAGGGCTGCTCGGGCTTTTAGTCACCTGTGTATTGAACGCCGTCGACATTTCAATCTTCTAAACTCCTCCGCCGTGAGCGTGCTGTGGTTGACTCTATCTGCAGCCCTTGGTCCTGAACTTTAGTTCGCCCACATTTACATGTGTGGCTCAACACGGGCTCACGATACCTTGAGAACATCGGTAATGCCAATAGCGCAGGTACTTGCTGTGGGCCTCTGGTTGGAGTGATGCGTTAGAGTTATCGTGCAATCCAAGACAGTTGATAGTGTGACAGCTCGCCCACCACATGGCAGGAATCCCGTTCCGGCGACCCACGGGTACTAGACGCCATGATCATTGAAGTAGCTCTGTACTCCGTGGATTGCGGGCCTATAAGGGTTGAATCAGTTGTTGGTATGAACATATTGAGCGACTCCAAGCGAACCGAGGGATAGATGATGCTAGTCGATCAAGGATACAAAGCTTCTACATTCTTGGCAGCGGTGAGCGCGTCTTAACCACAGGCGGTGCAATGGTCCAGAGGCTATTCAGGGCTCAATGCGCTCGTTCTTATTGACTCCCTCATCCAGTAAGGGGTCTCTGGAATGCGCCCAATCAGGACATGCAGATAGAACCTTGGCCGGCTTTTCTCGGGGTTCTGTTAATGAGCGAACCTCAGTTGGTAGCACACAGTAGGTACTTGGCGCATTAACCCATATGTCCTGTACCTACCCGGTTGATGTGGAATAAGCTCGGGGCCACCTGCAATTCGGTTGTGCTGGACTCGGTGATCAGCCCACGGCGGACAAAGAACCGAAAACTGGTTTTGTTTAGCGGAGCTGCCACCCGCCGCTCCAACGTGTCCCTTTGTTTATAGCGGCCTCGCTGGTTGAGTCTTTTTCCTTTCCCATTTGACTATCTGAGGAGTTGGCTATTGTGTATGGAACCGACAGTGGGCTTGGCGGATAGACACAGCCAGCATTGTGGGGTCACAGCCGCCTAGTGCATTGAGGCAGTCAGGCAGAGCATGGTAGATATTTTCGTCTGTTGACTGCTTGTGGCGCATGCGGCGTACAGCGTACAGCTACTCCGTATACACATCAACTGGTCACATTATCATGGGCGGAGTAGTCGCGATTGCAGCCAAAAAAGGCCATTTCCGTCACCACTAGCAGTGAGCACTGTCGGGGTGATACGCCATGGATGATGAAGCAGTGCTCAAGCCTCGTGCACTGGACCTCTTGTGGACCCGTCAAAAGAGGAGCCACCGGGCGCTTGGGCCCAGAACGGTACCATTCTCCATAGTCCAGTGTCATCAGTGAGACCATAGCTCTAGTTATAGCCTGAATTCAATTCAACTCATCCATGTGTAAACTCACGTCAATCGATTTTGATCGAAATCATGATAGCCCATGACACCAGCCCCGGGTCAGACATCCGGTATCGCATGCTCGGTACACTGCATGCGTGAGAAAATAGCAGCCTCCTGACATTCTGGTTGGTAAGCACGAAGAAGAATGCCGACCGCGGAAGATCGCTGGATTGGACGAGGACGTCCATTGCTTGCCGCTAATTGCAGGCGAGACGGAACGGCCGTGGGGTCCAAAAAGAAATCACAACGGTGGTACTACCTGGACAAGCCTAGTAGTAAACCGAGGGTGCCTGGAACTGAAGTGACCGGGGCCATGGCGGGGTATCTTTTAGTGCTTCCCGTCGTGCCGCCCGTCCTCAGGCACCGTCCGGCGTCAGCATTCTATGCTTCCAGATCGGTCGCTTGCACCATGCAAGATCCAGACCCCTTGGGCGACAGCCAGCTCGTGAGACATGGATCGAAGTCCTTCGAAGTTACCAACGCCGGCGCAGGAACCCTAAGTCCAGTCCTGAGCCAGCAAAAATCCGACGAGGAGGAGATGGGGACCGTGGCTAATGCAGATGGGGCCCCGGTACCTTACTGCTTTGGTTAAGTCCTCCACCCGCAATCCCTGCCCAGATGTCCATCCACCGGCGAGGACGGCGAGGAATGATCTTCTCAGTTCCCACTCCTGCACACCTGCGCCCGCGTGCTATCACATTCGGCCACACGCGTATCATTCAGCCATCAAGGGCCAAGGGGTTCCCGAGGTATGATTGCTTCCATGGTTGATACTTGCGAATGCCCGGCGTCGCACTGTATCAACTCTGGCTAATACTCTGCGCTACTACGTTTAGTGACTTTAATCGTCGCGAGGCTGGGCGTGTGCAACCCCTCCCGCGCCAATAGCGGGCCCGATGACTGGTGACTGCCACCATCCCAGCAAACCATGTAAGACAGACACGCAGCCTCGCATAAGCTGGAGAGAAAAAAATCGAAAAGGGCTGCAGCACACCTACATAAGGCACTTTATTCCTAGTACGGCATGGCTGCCTCCCAATCAGTCCCGGTCACCTGGCGGAAGTGGGCACGGCGCCTCAACCCTCTTTCTTCCTTCTCCCCTCACTCTGAAACATCTTCCTCTGTTGCGGCTCTCTGTCGATGATCGGATCTCCCTGTCTTGCCCACCGAACCGGTCACCTGTGATCGAACCTAAGTCTGTTCGCTCTTATGTCCGTGGCTTGCCATCCCTGTCTCCCCCATGTCACATCAGCTCGTGGCAGCCGTGTGGGAACAGCTAGGACGTCGTGATCTTGCCAACATCCTGCGTGAAATTATCGGAGAGCATGCGCTCGACATCGCGCTCTACCAGCAAGATGCCCAGGCCCCGGTCGAGCCTCTCATCCGGTCCGTCTTCTGGATCAAGACCATCTTCGATGCGCAGCGAACCTACCTCCAGGGGTTGAGCAGTGTTCGCGACTGTCACCCCTACTTTATACCCTATCTACTCCCAACCGAGAGCGTCTTCTCGGCGCTGATGTACCTGGTCAAGATCAAGCTCGAGCTCTTCCCCTGCCCCAAGTCGACAGAAGGGGATCTCATCCGGTACCGGCTCCTCATTGCGCATACACTACTTGTGGGGATTCGAGTGCTCTTGCTGCGTGGAGAGACGATAGATACCGACCGGAAGTTCAAGCTGGAGCGAGCAATGAGGGCGGCTTGGCGGAACCCGGACCTATCAAATGTCGAGCGATTCCTGATCACCGATCTCCTCCCAAAGGCCATTGCTAGGATCGGTTCCTCAGATCTGTCGGCGACTCAGGCATTTCTATTGGACAGCGCGAAACCCTATCTTCCTCCCTTCGCGACGGGGCTTGTAAGTGTTGGCAGAAGTTTACAGCTTTATCGGGACAGCAACTCACTGTCTCTTAGTATCCGATTACGGGGGCGCCAGATAGGCTTATCACCGACCTTCTCACGGGTGTGATGAAGAATGACGCAGACCAGTTGGTATCCTTCTGTCTCCTATTGGATATCTTATGGGCAGTTGACTCGGCACTCATTCAATGTCACATTGATCGCCGTCGAATTTCCCAAGAGCAAGGCTACACGAGCCCTGCAGCTTACCAGGTGGATGAGGCCTGTAACCAGGCCCAAGATATCAAGAAAAAGCTCACAAGGACAGTACTGGCCGCTTTTGATGACGAGTTTAATAATGCGCCTCTTCGGATATTTGCGTCTATAATTCTGAGTCAAACCGGTGGTGAAAACCCGCCATTGCAGTCGCGAAGAAAAATCCGGGATACTTGGTCCCAGATGTCCCCGATTCGCGACTGCTGGGAGAAGTCGTCAGCTCAGTTCGTCCGGTGGCTCATCAATCGCAGAGTTCAGATGTGGGACTGCAACGGAGAACTCGAGGCCTTTTCGCATGATTACCAACAACATCTCACTCAATGGCTGCAAAGCTCGTCGGCTGCCGAAGTGGATCAAAAAGCGCAATTGAGGCCGGGACGATCTAGTGCTGTTTATGTTGTCAACTGTCCTGCGGTGCACCCGGTACCCGGAACATTGTTGGAGGAAAGCTTAAGGAGCCATGACAGGAGAGCATACGAGGCAAGTAGAACATCTCTCACCGTTTTGGTATGCTTGCTGGATTCTAACCTTTCTTAGCAATTACAAGGAAGTCCAGAGTTTCTGACGATGGACATCGATTGTCCCCTCTGCCCCACTAATACAAGAATACAGCATGCCCGAATGATTGAGCCTCTCGAGCAATTATCGGATGCGCTGCATTTTTTTTCGGACTCGGACGCTGATGGACACGATTCCCTTCCGACTTCCAGAGATACCACGTCCTGCTCCAGTTCGCTCAGTCACTCCACCAGTCAGTCCTCACGGCTCGAGTCCACAGAGCTGTCCAAACGCCCGATCTCGCCTACGTCATACCCAGCTGCACTGTCCAAAGTAACAAGCAAACAACCCACGGCCACCACGTCAGAAGTCTTTAGTCCAATCCTATCGCGTAGCAGGACAGACCAGACATTTGACAGGCAGACGATCAAAACCATTTCTCGAGACATCAGGAATGTCAAGCTGCCCTTTGCGAGTAGCACGTCCCTGTTCAGGAGAAATTCAGCCAAGGGACATCAGCTGCCTCGCCAGCCCCGATTTTGCTTCTCGAGCTCGGGGAGCTGCCTGCTGTTTTGGGGCGCAGGCAGCAACTGGGTGATGAGATTCGAGTCGGGTGGTGGAGATGGGAAGAAGCCCAAGGGGCATAAATATGACATTCCTAGCGTGCAACAAGCCGCAGCAGGGGACCAGCGATGCGCTGTCATTGCTTCTGTTGGGCAGGTATGCAGTTCCTTGCGTTTATTCTCGTGAAGCTTATACTGACGAAGGCAGCACTACGAACTCATCGTGTTCGAGAACGACAGCGACGTCCCGCAAGCTTACCTGACCATCGAAACCGAGAACCGGTCTTTCCCCATTACCTGTATGGTGATGTCCCGCAACGATCGATACGTTGCCTTTACTCTTCACGACCAGGTTCGAGTATACGAGATATGCACCCGAACCATCCAGAGGGTCTCGTTGGGTAGTGGAATGGATCGGTTGTCGGACTTTGGTGATCGATCGGTGATGGGCGCGTCTCCTAGTGCGAAGGGAACTGCATACGAAGGAAAAAGACAGGAAGCCATCATCGAGAGGAAACTTCAATTTTCCGCGGACGGGAAGCACTTCGTTATCGCCACGCACCTTGGAGACCATTTCGCATATGTCGATGTCTGGAACTGCACCTTCCAGCAATGGAACGTTGTCCCTGACAAGTCGAAATCGTTCAAGCTCCCACCGGTATGTATCGGTCCTATTTGACCGAATGACGATCACTAACATTCCCCAGTGGACCAGTAACGACGGAGACTTTACCGGAGTCTTCTATGACAACACCCAACATGCAGTTCTTCTGACGGCCTTCTTTGCCAAAGAATACCCGTCCTTCTTCTCCATGACGGATGACAAGATCGTGAACGACTCCTTCAGCACCCGCGTCGTGCATGCAGCGCAGTCCCCCTCTGGGACTCGCTTTATTTTCGCGAACGGCATGAGTGAGATATATGTGTGTGATCCGAAGCCCAACGGGCGCCTCAAGCCGTCTCGAGTGAGAAAGGCTTCTTCCAAGATCTACGAATCAGTATTCCGGCCCGGACAGCTGGCGTTGTCCTTCCCCCAGGAAACCGAGGCGCTTGCCTTCTGGGTAAAATCGGGCAAGTTGATGCTGAGAACAATCCGGATGCAGGATGGGGTCGAGGCAACCAGCGACTACGATCTGCGATCCGATTTCGACCGGCTGGTGGTGGAACGACCGCTGGCTGCTGATTTCCATACCCAACGCCGGCGGCACTCACTATTATCGAGTGAGCTGGTGGCGGAGATTGACGGCCTTCCCTCCGTCCCGCGGCCAGATTTGCCCGAGCTGTCCTCGATGTGATTTCGAGGGCGAGAGGCGTGGCGGGTGAAGTGTTAGTATTGGCGCAATGGATTGCGGGGGTCCCCCCGCTCTACCTGTACGTGTGATGAATCTAATGGAATAATGTGCAATGAATGTATAAATGCTTGTATGACCACCAACTGGACAGGATGCATCTAGTGGTAGTTAGCGTGGGAGCCTGGTAGCCTGGCAGCCTGATAGTTCTGGCTCGCGCGCCGCTGTCGAGGCCGGAAACGGCTAGTGCGGAGGGGCAGGCGGAGGCGAGAATCGCCGGGCGCCGACGGCAGTAGTAGTCGACGTCACCATCCGGGCCCCCGAATTGCTTGCTGTCTCGTGCGTCGTCGAGCTTCGCAGAAGCTGCTGGACCCGTGCTTTTGCTTGTGTCCTGACCTAACCTGGGGTGGGTGAATTGCTTCTTCCCTTCAATTCCGGGGAGACCGGAGGTGGATCGGTGGGGAGCAAGTCGGCATTGGCCATTGCAGCGCCGGTGCCCCTCTCCACTGACAGTCTCCCCCTATCGACTAGTGCGGTGGACTGACTGCCTGCCTGCCTGCCTGCTTGCTTGCTTGCTTGCCTGCTTGCCTGCTTCAGACGTGAACAGCTAATCCTTATTCCGGTTTCTGTAGCATTCGGGAACATCACCACCTTCTGCCCATCCTGTCCGAGCTCCCAGCCCTCGTAACTGGCTGCCAGTGAAGCGAGCTCGGGTCGACGTCATCAATACATCTCCGCGTCCTTTTTACGCCCAAACTTCTTCCAAACCGCACTCTTCATCACCCTCTTCTCGTTACCTTCAGTCAGCATCAAACCCCAGTCATCATGTCCATGCCTGAGTTTGATCCGGCCCGTCGGCCGTCCCAAGCCGAAAACCAAACGATCCTCAAGTCCGAGATCCCGTTGAAAGAACGGTTCTTCCGCTATTTTCAACACGAGATCACTGGTATGGTTGGCTGATCTAGTTGATAACCCGTGCTCTTTCCTCGTGGACAGAGGAATCTGACCCCTGTCTCCCTGTAGCGCTCCAGGAACAGATGGATCGGCTGGCGGACACGTCGTTGGTGGGAGGAGAACGGACAGACGCAACCGATCATTGTCTGGCCGGGATTGCGCGCCTGTCCAACGAGGTCAAGGATGCGGCCAGCTATATCCCAACCTATGACCAGCGGGTGTATGCAGAGGTATACCTCTCGATGACTCGATGACAGGGGCATACTGACCCATTAGGCCATCAAAGCTTTGCAGGACAAGCTAGTCGAGACCCGTGCTGCGGTCGAGCCGCGCCCTAAGTTCAGCTTCAAGACCAAGAAGAATGCCTCCGCCATTTCCCTATCCGATGCAGCACACCTTGCCGCTCAAGGTCGACGTAGCATACCTGGGTTTGCGTCCTCTGGAACATCCTCGGTAGACTCGTCCGCGACACAAACCCCCATGTATCCATCCACCCCCCTGAACGAGCCTGACAACCGCCTCCATCTACAACGACCGGAAATTGCTCCTACTTCTATCCCCGCCCTGGCGGTGGCCGATGAGGAGGACAAGCCCAAGTCAGAACATCCGGGTGGCTTCGCTGCAACTGCGGTGTCTTCTGTGTCCGTGAACAACCACCACAACCTGCATATCATGCTCCCATCCTCCGGGTCGACCGCTACGGTACCCGCATCCATGACATCTCTACGCCATTGTGTAGTTGACATGTCCATACCCACCGAGAACGGAAAGCCGTATGCTAGCCTCACGATCAAGAACGTGAAGGAAAGTCTGCTTGTCTGCGGCCAGGTCAACGGTCCGGCGCATATTACGGGAGTGGAAAACAGCATTATCGTGGTAGACTGTCGGCAGTTCCGGATGCACAACTGCTCCAATGTGGACGTGTACCTCAGCGCGTCCAGTAACCCGATCATCGAAGACTGCACAGATATCCGATTCGGTCGGAAACCGCGGGTCTACGTAAGTTTTATCCATCTGTAATTCCGTCTATCGCATTTATATTGAATGTACTAGGCCCTGGACCACGACCGCCCAGACGACGAGGATCGCTGGAGCCAAGTCGAAGACTTCAAATGGATCAAGTCGGAGCCCAGTCCGAACTGGAGTCTGCTGGATGCCGAGGACGCTGTCCCCGAGGAAGTGTGGGCGGAAATTGTTCCAGGAGGGCCAGGGTGGTCTTTGGATGATATTCTGCGCGCGATCAAAATATCTAAGGCTTAAATTTCGGTTATGTGGGGGATTAGGAGTTGGCGTCTAGGTTGCAGTCTGCATGTTGCATTGAGTGTGGCAGACTAGGTGCCCAGTAGTACTGTGTACTGGGACTGGGATGTGTTTATATCACTTGACTTGACTCTGATTGCATGGATGAAACCAACATACCACCCTGGCTGATTTACTCGAATACCATTCGTATTGGTACCAATCATATTAAAAATAATAAGCTTACATATCAACATCATATTCCTTTTCGTAGCTCGTCATAGTGTCAGTGACATACAGATGAACTGCCGATATTGTCCGCACTCCACTCGCCATATATATACAACCCACTGATCACACCCACCACAACCTTCATGGCCGCCACAGCACCAGAGCAACACGCCTAGAACCGAATCCTAAACACCAAAACCTGATTATCCAAATTATACCCCGACTCATCCGCATACTTAAAGCGGCCGAAATTCATATGTCCTAGAAGTTTCATGATTGCTTGTTAGCCAAATCACCCCCTAAGTCGCATATATATGTATGATAAAAAAAGGACATAAGATGGAGGGATAAAGAGAGACTCACCATCCTGCGTCACAAAATCATTATCACTAATACTGAACAAAAAGTACTCTTTCTCTTTTCCGGTTGCGGTGCTGTTACTACTGTCCTGGGGATCCACCGGCACAAGCACCAAACTCTCCCACTTTTCATTCAACAACCACTGATTCTGTTCGCCACCGTTGTGAAGGCCGAATTTGGCGAGTTGGTCTTCAACATTATAGTCCAGGAAAGAACAGTATTCTGCGGCGGTGATTCCGGAATGTAAGATTCCCTTATCGGAGGCGATGGTTCCATTGGGGGAATCTACGCCCTTGAGGATTTTCAGGTCTGTGGTGTTGGAACCAATGTAGAAGATATCAGCGTGTCGGTAAACGGATAGGGAGTCATCTTGGCCGTGACCGAAGCCTGAGTCTCGGGCTAGGACTAGGAAGTCGCCGGTGGGAAGGAGGTGGATTTCGGATTGTGCGGCGACGACGTTTTCGTCCTTGGTGTAGCTGTAGTATTTGGGGAGGGTGACGACGTATTCGTGCTCGTAGATGGTGGTGTTACCGGAGATGTCGTATTGGAGAAGTCGGGCTTGGTTGCGGGATTTTTTCTTCAGGCCGCCTTCTTGATTGAGGGCGGATTGGAGGAGAGTGTAGAGTTTGCGGCCATCGGGGGAGATGGTGAGGCCTTCGAAGCCTTGGTTGTTGTCACGGCCGGGGTCGGGGTCGGCGGGGATGGGGGTCAGGGCGGGGTCGTAGATGGGGGGACTGTCGGCGCTGAAGCTGAGGGTGGAGTTGCGACGGGGGAGGTACGCGGGGGGTGGTTGGATGGCTTGGACCATTTGGCCGGTGTGTTTGTTGAATTTGTAGATGTAAGGCCCGTATTCGTCGGAGATCCAGATGTGGGACGGGTCGTGGGCAGGCAGGGCCAGGCCTTCCGAGTCCAGTGGGATGCGCTGGCCGCCGGGACCAGCCCCGCCGAAGCCGTCGCCAGTGTAGGTGGCGATGGGGAGAGGAGGGAAGTTGGGGTAGCTGATCGTGCCGGTGAAGGTGGCGTCGAGGCCGGTTAGGGGTTGATTGTCTGGGCCGGTGAGGAGGAGCGTGTCGAGGTAGTAGAGGTGGATGTTGGGAGGGGAGGGCTGGGATGCGGAGGCATTGGGGGCGAGATGGAGGGTCAGGTTGAAGGTGTGGATGCGTGGTTGGAAGTTGAGGGTACCATTGGTGTTCCTGGCAGGAAGGTCAATATGACGGAGAGGGAGGAAGAAGGGAGATGGAGAGGGAAATACCAGCCACGGTCAGGGAGTGCGTAGAGAATACCGGTGTAGGAGTTGGGTCCCGTGCGACGCCAGGTGGAGAGATCAAAAGCGGCGGAGCTGCCGAAGCCTCCCATGGTGTCGCCATATTTATCGGTGGCGTTGGAGGGTACGAAGCCGTAGCCTTCAAGGCCGGTGTAGGTGTAGGTGGTGTTGCCGCAGGTGGTTTGGTTGACGATATTGGTCAGAGCTGCTGCCGTGGAGGGCAGCGCGGACAGAAGAGAGCGTGGGCGCATGCTGGTGGCTGGATGTGCATGCAGTTGAAAAACGCAAGTGTTGAAGCGGGGGAGCTGCAAGATGATGTAGGGACGAGGTGATACTTAGGGTTCGCCATCGGCCGATATACGGAGAGCACCACCGGGAACGTGGGAGCTTTGATGCATGCGATTTGCTGCATCAGATCGGCCAGGATGCCCGATGGATCTAGCCCGCTCTAGCCTGGATCTATATCGTTGGCAGATCATGCCTACAAAGAGCATCGCGTAGGCTTTCAGCTGTCACTGACATCTGCCAACAGGATCTTCATTTGAAATGGGGAACAGTGTTGCTGGCTCTAGTATCAGCAATCTCAGATCAGAAGCCTATTGATTATTTTCTTTATTCGAGGCCTCGGCTACATTGATAACATGACATACCGGTTAGTCTCAGTGCATGAGCGTGGTCCGTGGTCGTGATGCAGTGATCGAACCCGGACAGGCCATCATCTTGAAAGCAATGAAAGACGCCATTGAGGACTATGTGTGCGTGAGCTCCTCCCATATTAAATGAGTTGATCGAAATCTTTTGTTGGATGACTGAGAGTCACCTGACTCTCGGGCCCCTTTAGTCTAGGATCTGTAGCCATAATCTACAAGCTTCAAGGCTCTATATTTAACAGGTTATGAGCCCCCCACTTGTTCCTGTATCTTTTTAACGCATTGAATAGCTTTATATTGCTATCAGAATACCGTCACTCGCTCTTTTTTTGTTATTTAAGTGCCCCATCGCGCGTGATTCATCGTCAAATCTGATGAGGCCTTCTGAATCGCTATCCACATTAGAAATTGCTCCACATGTACAAAATTACGTGTGTTAGATCCCTCCTGATTCCATGCTAGGAATTGATTGTTACTACTAAATCCCATATTCTAATAGATTTAATTTCTATATATCTAAATCTTATATTACTCTTCGCTATTTAATTATCATGCCTGATTTTAATGACTACGTCAACGCTGATCCCATGAAGGTTATCCTAAAACTGACCGGGGAAGCTAATTTTCAGTAATAGAGTAAAGCTCTAGAATAGTTCCTGAAGAAAAAAGATCTTATTGATATCTCATGAATTATAGATAAATATAAATGACCAATACATCTAAATCTATATTCTATAGATACTTATAATAATCTTCGAGCCGTTGTTGCAGTCGCTAGTGAGATGGCCGATCAACACAGCAAAAAATGAAGTCGTATTGGTGCTACTACTCTAGAACTTTAAGCGTAAGGGGGAAAAAGAAAAATAGGAAATGTTATGGGCGCTCGCTTGAAGATAATAATAGCAAAGTAAATAAAGTAAATGTGATCACATGATCCTGAACGAGGCTGCCGTCACATAAAATCCAATCAAAAGGAAATCTCAAATATTCTTAAAATACCTTATTACAATACGATCTGTCTAATGCAATAAACACTATTCGGTAACACCTGCAATGCAGTGGGAAAAGAGAAAGAAAAGAAAGAAAAGAAGAAAAAAAAGGAAAGCCCCCCACCAAAACCTGAACGTCAGTTCATGTTCATTAGTTCGCTGCCTCACCCTCCGAGTACTGCAACTGTCCGCGGGTACGAATGAAATATTGCCCGTTCTCGCACATATCCACATGCCATCGATCGCACAAGCGCGGAGGCCTTGGCCCTCCCAGCGGCACTCCAGACCACGCATGTACCGTGTCCGAACTATTCACAGCTAAAGCGAACAGATTCGATGGTTCTGTGAAATCTGTGACAAGCTTCCCGCGTCCTTGAAAGATAATGAATCCCAGACACAGAATATTCGTCAAGAAGACTACAGCAAGAATTATATAAAACACCTGCTGCCAGTCACTTGTCCAGCCAGATGCATAGCCCGTAGACTGCAGCGTCGCGTTAAACACCTGCACGACTGGAGTAGTGAGATTAGGCTCCGAGTAGTTCCAATACGGAACGAATGGAGAACCCTGACTGCCTATAAGTGCGGTACTCCCCGCCAAGACAGCCAAAGCCTCACTAAGAGAGGGGAGTCGAGCATCCAGTGAAGAGGAATTAGTAGTTTTATCAAAACTGAGAACCAATTCCATCAGCGAGCGTTCAATACTGGCATAGTCACTCATTAGGCCTGACGCAAGTGTTACTGTGTTAGCCCAGTCCCATGCCGCAGTCTGCCAGTCTTGGAGGTACGGCTCCTCTGCCATGTCAGGATGTATCCGGTTATACTGGAGTTTATCAGCTGCGTCTTCGCAGCGGGAGCTCAGATTACCGCCACTTGGGCTAACCTGGTACTGCACTGAGCAGCGACCTGAAAGCTTTCCGCGCATGCTGCAGAGAACGTACTGTGGATCGTGGCTTGGGGGAGCGGTCCCTAAAAGGTAGAGGGTTGTGTTGCCGATGGTTGTGTTAACTTTGGGATTTATGATGGTGTTGTGGTGTTCGGGGTAGATCGGGAAAACAGGGGCGGCTTGGTCTTCGCTGAACCCGAAGAGATTGTCGACGACGGTACGGTTTGTCTTAATTTGGTGCACTGGCCCACAGGTTTCCCAAGTCGATAGATTGAATGGCCTATAGTTGGGCCACTCGGTGTAGATTAAAGGTTTCAGCTCGTCATGCGACATGCCAACGCACATCACATTGATTGCAGGCGAAGGAAGAGAGGCTTGAATGATATACTTGCCCTCACCAGACAAGTCGACTGGCTGTTGGATATTATTTGCGGGGTCGCGTGCTGCAGCGAACAAACCCCCGTGTGGGTAGGCAGCAGTGACGTTATTAACAACGCGATTATATCGTTCGGAAACAGCGGTGGTGTTAACGATTTCTATCCAGCGACCGGTTACTGTGGTATTGTCGTATAACAAGGCATGTGGCTGCGGGCGATGTACGAGAGCTGTCGACGTGTTATTCCCAGCTTTCAGCATTTCGGCCCAACCTTGCAGGAATTGATAGTAATCATGGTTTGAATGGCCGGCTACCTCCAACGCTTGGCAGGTCTCACCCCGACTTTGGGGGTCAACGGTGGCAGTGATTGGACTCTGACAGGTTTTCTCTATATAATTAACATTCGAATAGTGGGTAGAAACATTTCCCTGAAGAAGTCGCGGTTGGACGGGGCCCATAACCAAGGTTGGAGATACTGGAGCCAGGAAAGCACACACAAAGCGTAAGTAAGTATAATTGAGTAGTAAGAGAATAGGAATGACCAACCCAAGGCTTCAGCAGCTGTGGTATATAGCATCGCCGCTAGAGTAATAATCAGCGTTAACCCACCAAGCATTGTCCAGCCGATATAGCGCAGCATATCCCATTGCATCAGTAGTGATCCAGGCTGCGTAATCCAGGTTCGCAGTGTTATGTCGGCAATGCCGACGCCCTCAGACCTCTGCGCGAGAGCTCGTCGACTCAACAGCTGTCCCAGGAATATGATACAAACTGTGACATAGGAGAGCTCAATTGACTTGGCCAATAGGGCGCTTAGCAAAGATGCGGAAGAGGCAGTTAGGCTAGCATTGTTACCAATCAAATTGCCGTAGAAGGGCTTAATACACGCGATAATGAAGAAGATGCCGGACAAGATGCTGGTATACATGCCCAGTATAATAAGAGTGACGAAATGGCCCGAGCAGTGGCGTTTAGATTTATTAGTCTGCACTGGCAAAGTATGAGGTTGATTGCCATGATTGACATCTTTCGGTGGTGTATTGGTCAAGTCGCTATGAAACAAATCACGTGGCCCCTGACTGAGATCGCGCAGATCAATTACGCTTTCACCGTTACCGGATGAGCTGTCGATCAAACTTGCGTCCGGAATGTTGATATCGGACAAGAGATAAAATCTATCTGACGATCTGGCAGCCATAGTTCGCTGAGGTTAGATGCAGGCAGTTTGGAGGTTTGTTTTCCTTGGTGGGAAGGAGGAGAGAAGAAGGGAAAAAGGGCTTCCTGAGCCTGGCTTTTAAAGATGCAGTGTATGGCAGATGGAGGGGTCCTTGTTGGTGTGAGGCTCAGATGCAGGCTGTGGGAGCCGGGGTCGTGGCTCATTCAGCTGGTGTGCGACTGAGTGGTCACTTATATGACTAGCCAGTCAAGAAGATGCTTGCCCATAATCTTAACTTTCCCCGGTGGGGTGGCTTTGATCTACGGAGTACGAAGAGGTCCCGGAGCTGAAATTCGATGTATTTTTCAAAATTGTGTATTGACGTTGTGGGCGCTAGATAGCAGAGCGCAGAGAGGGTCATTTCCGACATGCTGGGATTAGTCACAGAGCATTATAATTCTCAAATAAAGAAACGACCGACACTGCCTTTTTGGTTGCAGAGACCAACCGCGTGGCTGACGCTCCGATTTGTTGATATTTGACGTAGATGCTATTGACTGACTGTAATCAATGATAGTTAACGACGTACTCCGTACACGCACTGCATTGGCCGAGAAATTTGACTAGTCAGATATTTTCGTTGCCTTGCACAGCCAAAACGATCAGCCAACCAGCGATTCAACATTGCTTTTCCAAGTTGAGATCGATCAACTACGTCTTATCACATCTTCTGGATTATTTTTCAAGCAGCAAAATGGGACTATTATAAGCTATATGTCATTGCTCAGATAGACATTTTCTTTGTGATGGACAAGCGCTTTTGTCTATCTGGCATTCCGCACATGACCCTTCAACAGACGGAGGTTGGAACATCTACTGGACAAGAGATAAGATGGTGGAATATGATGGATGACACGTTTATGGCCATCATTGGCGGCCTGAATAAGCGCCCGTGCGGGGCTTGTTGGTTCAGCTGCGGCTGATAATGTGGGTCATTTGTGGTCCGTGTACCTGCAATGACGTGGCACCCTATCTTGCCGCATCAGTCTAAAGTAATTCTGTCAATGTTTGGCTGTTTTCTGCAGTTCGCACTTCAAAAGATTAGACTCGCGCTGCAGCCAATCTGCATACCACAGTTGTGAATGCCTGGTAGTATTGGTGTGCCACATGGGTTGCCGCCCCCCAGGCCTGAAAACTTAGCGTGTTTGTAATGACACAACTTCACATGCACTCCGATCAGCCTGTTGGAAGCATGACTGTCATCTTTATCTTCCTGCTATCAACAGAGATCAGGTGGATCTATAGAAAGACTTCAGACAACCCGAGCGATTGTCAACGGGTTATTAAAAATGATTCGATCCTGGTCTCATTTGTTTCTTGTCACGACCAGGTACAGAGCTGAAAGTTGATATTGGGCCTCGCACAGACAGCCAGCCAATTGCAGTCTAGATTGCGACATATGGCAGCTTACTACTCGGTCGGCTAGACGGTTTCGAAGTCGGGTCTGGGTTTGAACAACCGATTGCCGGCCGCGATTCCGGAAGCTATCTTGGTCTCGATGGGTTTTGGACCGATGCTTCAGCATCCCCCTTCATATCAAAATAAGTGCAATCACAGTGCGGGCAGCCATAGCCACGGTAGACAGGCAAGCCGGAAATTGGCGGGCTATTTGGCGGTGGATACGGAATCTCTGGGTTGACCCAGGCGCGCTCGAGCAGAGCTACTGAGATTGGCCGGTGTAGCTGCATTAGGATGATTGGAATGTCGTCGCTGAAGATGGCGAATGAGACTTGTCGGCCACACTGCAAAATTGACCGCAAGGTGTAGTATAAATCCAGATTTGGTAGACTGTATTATAGAGAAGGAGATCCATAAAGGCGGGGGCAGGAGAGAGGGCCCGCTTCGGACTACGCACGCGGCGAAAGCACAGCGGAACATCAAAAATGGACCAATCAGCAGGCGAAAATTGCACCGTACGTTGGGTGGAGTTAAGCCTGGGGAGTGAAGGTTCCACGAGCCGAAACCTTCGGGCCGCGTGCTAATGATTCAGTCCTCATTTGTCATGTCGGTAAATACGGCATCCTAGAGGGGAGTTTTAACCGGGGGGGGGGGTTGGTTTTCCAATGGGAGTGAAGGAAATTGTTGAGAAAGGAATCGTCACTTATGCTCAGTACCGTGGTGCATTGGAACACGCTCGAATAAGTGGTAGTTTGGAGGCGTATTCCTTCAGCACATTGGCGAGCCTGTCTGGCTGGGTGATATCGCATGTAGGCTCCACCATGGTAACATCTAGCACACAGAGCTTTACAGCCAGCTGCTGCGCTGACTCGTTCCGGGCCTCTGATCATGATATAACCAGGACATATCGCGTCCCTCGCCTCGCCATCCATTGCTACATGCTACGACCCATCCCTCCGAAACCACCAGCCATCACATACGTCACGTTTGAACTGAATTGGTATATTGATTTGTTGCTCACACGAGTCTGTATGATTTTCATAGGAAATCCGAAGGCAAACCAAGCTCCTGATGAGACAAAACGATTCCCTAGCCCAGGCTCGGAATGGGCCGGAAGTGATCGTGGCAAGCAGATTAAAAAACCTTTTTGTGAAAGATGTTGAGACATGCCATATTTCTACCTTCTACGCCCGAGGCTAGGAAGGGATATATTCCTTTTGGCCTACGTGGTTCTTGACAAAAGATATGGGAGTTGAGAGGTATAAGGAAACGCACGAACCTGCAAATTTGGCGAAGAAGGGCTTGTTGAGTAGCCAATCACTTATCACTGCAGTAAAAAGTATTTCAGTTTTGAGCCCCATCAATTACACTGTTTCTTAATCATCGCTTGTTGAGTTTACCCGGTAGTTCTGTTAGTATGGTGGAGAGGTGCAGGGATTTGAATCCTTGAAGTGGTGAGTCTCAACTAATACTGCCGATCGGGGTCAACCAGAGTATTACTATAAGATCTAACTGCAAAGCTAACTCTCTCAAGTAAAAACACCGAGACAGGGGGCCGGCCAGCATGATGCATGTGCTGGCCCCAAGCAACATAAGCGGTTGATGGTTTTATTTTAAGGCAACCAAGAGCCCCGCTAGAGAATGTGAGGCTCTGTTCGCGCGTTTCAGTCTTTCTTTTATCTTATAGCCTCGCTGGCTCAAGTCTCTAAAATTTCGCAAGATATTGTCAACAGTTCAATCCCTCTAATAAAAATAACCCTTCTAGATATGAGGCTCGTCACGCTTGGCGTCTTTTTCCTCACGAGTCTTGGCATATCAGCCACAAAGACCTGTTATGCCCCTGATGGAACCCCAGTCGAGGACGACATATATGTTCCATGTATTGCGATTAAAGGAGTACAGTCGATGTGCTGCCGGCTCAATGACACAGACCCCGATGAATGTCTTACCTCTGGCCTTTGTTACACAAGTAAAGTCGGGTACAAAGGATATTGGAGAGACTTCTGTACTGATGAGACATGGGAGAGTCCGAATTGCCTATCGAAGTCAATCTGCAACACTACAGTACGTTGAGGATCTTAAATTCCCTCTATCCGCGTATGTACCATCTAATTTTCATCTCTACTATAGTCAGGGGGGAACTCAAGTTGGACATCCTTCTTGACATACTGCCATGGTGACCAATACTGTTGCGGTGATGATGGCTCATGTTGCAGCACCGACGATGTCTTTACCATCAATGAAACTCTCGTCACGATCGGAGATGTAGCTACAGCCACAGTTACGGCGACGAACTCAGCAAATGTGAACGGTACAAATTCTGGCTCATCGGATGAGTCTACAAAGCTCGCAATTGGCCTTGGAGTTGCCATTCCTCTAACCGCTATAGCGGGTGCCATGCTAGGGGCTGGATTTCTCTGGGGAAGGAAGCAAACGCAGCGCAAATGGTTGCAGACCACATATCACGACGGTACTGCTGGCCAGTTGTTGCAACCAATACTACAGCAAGGTAATGTTCCAAACCATCATCAAACTTATCCTCACGAGGTATCGGGATCTCCGTTATCACCGACCGAGCTACCAGGGGGGAAATGATGGGTATATTATCCTATTTGCGGATCATCGGCTGGAATAATGGTGGAAGGGACGGTTAATGGCCACGTCGGGTTAGGTTAATTGCAATTTTTATACCTTCAATACCTTCGGCTATCTATATATCAAGTTTGAATCCAAACTGTCGAGTAAGATTTGTCACGCCGAGAAACAGTCACCACAATGGACGTGTCGTCCAATGCAATCTTTTTATGTGGATATTTAAGGCATAGATTCTCTCTCAACTTTGGTTGGAGGAACAGCCTCCAATAGAATTCAGGGACAAGAACCAGATCCTGTTCCGTATCTTTGATCACAGTCTTTCTGTTGAGAGTAACCTTCCATTCAGTTAGTGAATACAGGTGGGTGGGTCCCCATATTACATCCTCCCTTCGACCCACTCTCCGTACTGGAGGAGCGGGAGTTTATCTGTGTAGGAGGCGCGTGGTTAAGAGACAGGATACTCAAATGGGGACGGAGAGTTGGCGTTGATAAGGCTAAGACTTAACAGCAAGAAGGTATGATTGAAATTTCCGGGAGTGGGTGCATACCATGGCGACTTATCGCATTGCCATGATTCGTTTCGGTAAGTGTCGTCATCATTTTCAGGGCTAAACAAGCTCGAGCTCATCTCTCTAGTGATTGAGACTCCTGTGGTTAGCAATACAGTACGGAGACTATTGAATTTAATATAGATTTGTCTTGGCCTATTTACCTCACTCCCTGCCCTACTAAAAGATGAACTTATATTTTATCTTCATTTCTCGGATCTTATTATAGACTAGGTAAGACGCAGTCTTCAAGCTAGTTTTAAATAATTTATATTAGAATTCCAAACACAGTAATTTTCTATTATAATAATTAATAAAAAGAGATTTATATGGACTATTAATTAGCTCAGACTACACACAATATTTATTATATGTCAAGGTGCAGGCAGGCAGGGGTGGTAGAATAGTGGGTTCTGGCGGGTGAGCAGGGTTCGAATGATAATAACGACTAGGATTCTAACTGGATGCTGAGCTGGCTACTGGTCAAGCTATGTACAGGTTGATAGACAAGATGTAGCTCGAGGCTACAGACGGGGTTCAGGGGATAGGTGGCTTTTAACCATGTCTGGGGTCACGTGCTGGGCGGTAAGACTCGGCAGTATTTCTCTCTTTCCGGCTTGGGAGGTTGCACCGTGACACTATCTAGGCTATAGCCGGAAAAAAGAAGAAAAATGCTTTAATAGTAGTAGCTAATGTGATCGAAACATATGATCCTCGCCTACCAGCCAACCAGGCACCTCAGCAATAAATATTGTAGGTGTCCAAATGAGCATCATTGGACGGATTAAAACAAGCTTTTCCCGAGTGCATCACACAATCACCATGACTGCTATGTAGAGGTACTTCCAAATCTAACAAGAACGTAAGACGTGCTAAGCACCAACCGCCTCAGTAGCTTGCAATGCAACTTCAAACCGTGCCTTCAGATCTTCCGTATCCTCAACACCAACACTAACGCGAAGCAGATCCGCGGGGACACCGAACCCTGCAGCCCAATCCAACTCCCAATAATGTGCCAGAACAACATAAGGCGAAACCAAGGTGAAGTTTGTACCGAGACTCGGCCCTTTAGCTGTCTCGATGCGATCATAAAACGCAACCGCGTGGGCTTTCTCATGGAAAGTGAAAGATAGCAAGCCACCGTATCCGCCCGTTGGGGTTCGACAATCCTCATAGAATTGCCGGGTTGGAGTATATTTGGGGAAGTGAACGTCTTTGACGAGAGGATGGGCATTGAGAATATCACAGATGGCTTCGGCGTTGTCGTTGATCTTCTTGATCCGGTTCACAAAGTCACGGCTATTGCGCTCCATGAACATGACGTCTTCGACCCAATAGTTGTCCTCGTAGTCTGATTCGAAAGCACGTTTCAAGGAAGGGTAGTGTCGTCCTTCGGGGTTGAGAATGGCGCTCCCACCCATAACGTTACAGTCGCCCGAGAAAATCTTCGTGAGACTGCTTACAACCACGTCTGCATGTGGAAGGACTTGAACGTTGACGGAGTTTCCAATCGTTTCATCAACAACCACCCCGAAGTCATAGGTGTCGGCCAACTTCTTGATTCGCTTGAGATCAGGGCAGTACAGCATGGGATTTCCGGGAAATTCGCAGAAGAGTGCCAGATATCGTTCGCCGGCCTTGAGGCGGGCTTCCAAGTCATCCAGATCTTCCGAGGAGCCATTTCCGTAGAAGATACATCCAGGGCCGAACTTTTGCAGGATCTTCAGAGTGTCGACGTAAGGAAAACCGAACATGATACTCTTCAACTGACCTCTGCTTTCCAGCATCATCCGGTGCGTGTTGAAAATGGCATTCATTCCGCAGGGATAGAGATAAACATCGTCGTCGGAAAGTCCTGTCACTCCACGCGAGTTTGAGGTTACCTTGGGGCCTGGTTCGACTGCAAGATCCACTCCGTCCACCAAAGAGCCAGCTATGCGCCGACGGATTGCTACCTTGGCGTTATCGACAAAGGATATAGCCAAGTTTCGACCGAAATGCTCCTCCAGGAATTGCGTGCTTTCCCGGTTTTCTGCCGTGTCATTCTGAACAGACAGCTGAGCGTTTTCGACTCCTTCTGAGGTAACATGTTTCTCTCTGGAGAACGTTTGATATTCAGATCCTCTTTGATACCTCTTTGGACCCTTTTTCTGGCTTAGCGTTGGTTGCGGCGGCGTGGAATCGACCAGCTTGCCATCCGAGAAGAGTGAGTGACAAAGCTCAGCCTGTCTGCTTGAGATACCATCACCAGAGTGTTGCCAGTATTGCTTCGCGATCGGGAACAGGTCTTCGTGGAAAATGACCGCTGATATAGAGGGCGAGATCTTCGCAATGATCTCTGATACTTCTTTGCTCTTCTTAAGAAACAGGTCAATGATTTTGACATCTCCTGAGACGCTAGACCCCGCTTTCGCATTGATGAAGCCGTGACATCTTTGAGCGGACTTGCGGGACGGAAACAACATGGCCTTCTGGTCTGGGGCACCGTATTTGGCAACAATGTCATCCGCGAACGCCTCAATGAGTTTGTGGATGAAGAATCTGGTCAGAGGATTAGTTTATGACTTATTCAGAGCCCCTGGAATGCTAGACAATACCGTGGATAGCCAGTTGAGAGTTTGTTCATAACCCGCTTTTCCCCGATCTCGTAGTCCACGTTATCAGACCATGCTGGCAGAGACACGCTCACAGCCTGTGGACAGGGTCAGTGTTGTTGACTCATAATCTCGCCCACAGGAGTATCGAAAATGTCTAGTAGTTCGTCACAACTTACATGGGGTGTGAGGGATGGAATTGAGTCTCCGAGCTCTATAGTAGACATCTTAGAATGAGTATTAAAAGAGGAGTTGTTACAAGTTTTGATTTATTGTTATGGTAGACGGATGGTGGAAGAATGTCGAGGAGGAAGCTAGATACGACGTAGTGGCCATCCTGTGGCGGTTAATGAAGGAGTGGAACTAGATACCCTCAGTGAGTCAGACGAAAGTAAACTCTAGTTACCCCTAACACAATTTTGCGATTCCTTTGAGCGGCTAAGTGCGGGGTACTCGATCGATAAGTTATCTAGCAAGAGCGCATGCCAATACCACTGACTACATTATTTCTTCTATCATATCATACAATTTTTTTGTGTCGTCAGCGGTTGATCCTTTACTCGCTGTTCCAGGTCGTCGGCACTTTCGGATACTTCGTCGCGTCCAGTCCCAGATCCTCATAGATCGTGTCATCGCCTGTATAGATTAGCATCGTGACCATGGAAAGAAGACGGAAGGGTTAAGATTCACCTCGTAGTCCTTCGATCCGTTCCTCATTCTCCTGCCCCAGCTTCTCCAATTCTTCCCCGGGCTGCTCCTCGTTGGCCTGCTTGCCACCCTCTTCTGCCGTTGCAGCCTTGCCCAGGTCATCGGTAGCCTCTCCGATCATCAGGAACTGCGCATTGGGATAGTTGATGAATTCGGGCTGCAACGGGACCCAACGGTAATCGCCGAACTTCTCACGCACACTATAGCCTGTTAGTTCTCGAATCCTCTGACTTATACAGAGCTATCAGCTTGTCCATACCTTTCGGGATACTCGGGGTCTTTGTTGATCTGGGCATATGACGGACCAGGATGCTTGGGATTCTTCGACTGGACGACCCAGCTGCCACGAGAGTGCAGACCGAAGTCTTGCTGGATCGATCCGATCGTTTCCGGAATGGTCAAGACGTAGGCCAAATGAGATGACCGTTTCGTAGATGTGATTGCGTACACGCCCTCTGCGTACGGTCTGGCTTCGGGAACAGTTTGCTCGCCACGGGTAGACGTCTCGTATGTGTCGCCAGCAATGAAGCTTTCTTGCAGCGATTTCATAGACTGCCCGGCCTTTTCGACAAATCCCATATCCCGCTCCCTACCGGAGGTCGGGAACTTCTTCTTGGGTAGCATCATCAGCCGGCACTTCGCGCCAGACTCCACTGATCCATTTTGTTGATCCAAGGTAGTGCCGATGGGCGTTGGTCGTAGCACCAGGAAGCTCCGGGCAACGTCGCCGATACTCTGAGGGTCCGAAATATTGACTCGAGGTCGGTAAAAAAAGTAGATAATTCCTTTTTCAAGTACATTGGATGCAACCTTCTCTTCCCGCTCTTGGGATGTCTTGACGCCAGCTTCGGCTCCATTAGCAGGAGCCAATTTCTCTGGCGCCTCCGGCTTTTCTTCTTTCTTCTCTTCACTCTTTTCCTCTGGTTTCTCTGGCTTCTCTGACTCCTCTGGCTTCGGATTTTCTTCACTCTTCTCTTCGGCCTTTTCCTCAGGCTTTCCCTCAAGCTTCTCCTCGGGTCTGTCGGTAGGCTCCTCTGCAGGTTTCGCCAGAGACTCTTCCTCAGTCTTCCTTTCGGGTTTCTCGATGGGCTTCTTAGGCTCTTCCGCAGGCTTCACATCAAGCTTCTCCGACTCTTCCACCCCTTCTGATCCCATCAGCCCAGAATCTTATTCAATTGAGTATGAAACATACCATTTGTGGCCTTCTCTTCCTCTGTCGCCGGCTGTTGAGTTTTCGGCTTCTCTTCCGCCTTTCTGCCTCTTTTTGGCGCAGGACCTTTGTCGGTGCTTTCCTTGCGCTTCGCACCAGCAGCACCCCGGCTCTTGACGTCAGGAGCGGCCGCAATGGCTTCCTTCGCCTTTTGGGCAGCCTGACGGGTAGAAGTTCTAGTGGCGGCCATCGTAGCCAATGTTAGCCGGTGAAATGAAAGATCCAATAGATATACAGGCGAAGACAACGATGAGAGTTGAATGGACGAGGAGAATGGACGATCGCTGGTTGTCGCCAATGGGCTTGAGACTCGCCGGTGACGGCGATGAGGACCGCGTGACGTCATACAGGGTCCAGTTCTTTGTGTACTAGCGCCGCAGCTACTACGTCACGTGCCACGGTTCTAGATCCGGGGTGTCGGAAGAAGCAGGATGGCGCCGGAGGCAGATGTTTGGTTGATCGAGTAGATGCAGCCCATTCCTGGCATAAGATACCTCATCCGTCAATCTCCATCGTATCGGGCCCGGAGTATCCGGGGTGAGATTCAATGGCATCTGTTGACGGAGACCGTGAACTGGAGCTATCGGACGACCCAGTGTCCTTGGCTTCGTGTTGCCAGAAGGTTCCCGGAGGCGACGTGAATTGCTCCCTCGAGCACCTGCCTTTCCTGCGTCTCCTTTTGGTGGTATCGATCGACCAGTCGTATTGATTATCGGAAGCCGCACCGTATGATGGCTGTCGATACAGTCGATATGACCCTGCCACCGTCGCGGATGGTCTTCTTTTCTTGCCTCTCTTGTGGTTGGTGCTCCACTGGCGATTGGCATGGTCTGAGTTGCAATAGAGATCCTCCATTGAATCCACCAATTCTCCTTGCCAGATGTCCGAATTGTCTCCCAGATATAAGTGTATCACCGGCTTGCCTGCTGGTCTGCTTGTGAACTCAATCGGGTCATCTTCTGGCTCTTCGATGGCGTACGGTTGGACTACATCGCCGCCACCCTCAACCCTACTGCTGGACAAGGGGTCCTCTTCTGGAGGAGCTGTACTTGCGCCTGATGGAATCCCTGGACTGCTCTGGCAGCTGGACGGCTGAAACGTAAATGTGCCCGATTCATCGTGCGGTTGAACAATCACAGGGGGAACTCCCTTTCCGAGCACCTCCGTCATTATGTGTCAGCCCGATAGCAATTGACTTGCGTGGGATGGTTAGATGATGATCTGTTGTTGCTGGCAAGACACATGCGTATCGGAGTTAACAAAATGGCTCAATCAAAATCATAAAACGTGTTTATATTCTGTTTAATGGTAGGGACAATATGAGACAGGGTTTAAGTTAGGACCAACAAGCTCAAACGGCTCTCGTAGCAGACAGAAAGGGGCCAAGATAAGGAGATCGCGCTGGGTACCATTCTGCGGGGGGCGACAATAATGGGGATTCCCGACGGGGAATGACCAGAAGAAGCATCGAGAAGGGAGGCGTGAGATCACACTCTACCTATTTCTCAGCGCTGTACTCCACCCGAACCGAAGTGAAGGAGGGAGAAGAGATGCGAGACGCAACGACAGCCCCGTGACGGCGGAGGGACGCCAGTCCCCGGCAGCTGCTCACCGCCGGGCCCATCATTGGCCCGCGGGATTCGCTTATTGGCTATTGGCTGCGCCGGGCGGGCGACACAATAAGTCCACGTTTACCGCCATCCAGACGGAACCACCAGCTGCCCAGAGAGTCCAGACACTCCTCCCCGTACCTCTGTCCATTCCCCATTCCTCCCGCCGTTGCAGTGGATGCGGCGGTCGCCTTTCTGACCTCTTTTAATTCCTGTGTGCGGAGCTTGCTTCTCTATGGTGCGGCTCCGGCCAACCCTCCTTCAACATGCAGTCCTCTCCCAACATGCTCACCAAGGTCCGCCGTCCCCTCCCAATGCCAGCCCCCCTTCCCCTATCGCCGCGGAGCTGCTGCCCTCACGAACAGGAACTGACTGCCATCGCTTGCTTAACAGTTTGAATCCAAATCCTCCCGCGCGAAGGGAATTGCCTTCCACCCCAAGCGGTCAGTTGGCGATCATTCACTCGACGCGTCGCAATTGATCACTGACCCCCGAACAGGCCATGGATCCTAGTATCCCTTCATTCATCAACAATTCAACTATGGGACTACCGCATGGGAACCCTCATTGATCGCTTCGAAGAACACGATGGTCCCGTTCGCGGCATTGACTTCCATCCGACACAACCCCTCTTCGTCTCCGGAGGTGACGACTACAAGATTAAGGTCTGGAACTACCAGACCCGCCGCTGCATGTTCACATTGAATGGCCATCTGGACTATGTGCGGACGGTATTCTTCCATCATGAACTGCCCTGGATCCTCTCGTGTTCGGACGACCAAACGATCAGAATATGGAATTGGCAGAACAGGTCCTTGAGTAAGTCGGCATCTGGCCACCTGTCCCGAGGGGCGCTGACGGTCCTTTCATAGTCTGCACCATGACTGGCCACAACCACTATGTCATGTGCGCGCAGTTCCACCCTACCGAAGACCTCATCGCCTCCGCCTCATTGGACCAGTCGGTCCGCATTTGGGACATTTCGGGATTGCGGAAGAAGCACTCGGCCCCGACGTCCATGTCCTTCGAAGACCAGATGGCTCGCGCCAACCCCGCCCAGGCAGATATGTTCGGAAACACTGATGCGGTGGTTAAGTTCGTTTTGGAGGGTCATGACCGGGGTGTCAATTGGGTGTCGTTCCACCCGACCCTGCCTCTGATCGTCTCCGCGGGTGACGATCGTCTGATCAAGCTGTGGAGGATGAGTGGTAAGTTCCCGAGGTGGAGTGTTGCCGTATATGACGCTGACAGGATGGATAGACACTAAAGCATGGGAGGTCGATACCTGCCGTGGCCATTTCCAGAATGCATCTGCTTGTCTGTTCCACCCTCACCAGGACCTGATCCTCTCCGTCGGCGAGGACAAGACTATCCGCTGCTGGGATCTGAACAAGAGAACGTCCGTGCAGTCGTTCAAGCGTGACCTGGACCGTTTCTGGGTCATTGCTGCCCACCCGGAGATCAACCTGTTCGCCGCTGGTCACGACACTGGTGTCATGGTCTTCAAGCTGGAGCGGGAGCGACCTGCATCTGCTGTGCACCAGAACCAGCTCTTCTACATCACAAAGGAGAAGCACGTCAAGTCGTATGACTTCGCTAAGAATGTCGAGACCCCTCCGATGCTCTCCCTGCGCAAGCTGGGATCTCCTTGGGTGCCGCCTCGGACCCTTTCGTACAACCCCGCTGAGCGTGCTATCCTGGTTACCTCTCCTACCGACAGTGGCGTGTATGAACTGATCCACCTCCCGAGGGACGCCACTGGTGCCGTCGAACCCACGGATGTCAAGCGCGGCCAGGGCTCTTCCGCTGTCTTTGTTGCGCGCAACCGATTCGCCGTCTTCAGCCAAGGAAACCAGCAGGTGGACATCAAGGATCTGAGCAACTCGACCACGAAATCGATCAAGCCTCCGGCTGGAACTACTGACATCTACTTTGGTGGAACTGGATGCCTGCTCTTCATCACGCCTACCACCGTGGTTCTGTTTGACATCCAGCAGAAGAAGCAATTGGCAGAGTTGGCTGTCAGCGGTGTCAAGTACGTCGTCTGGTCCAATGACGGTCTTTACGCCGCGCTTCTCAGCAAGCACAACGTCACCATTGTGACCAAGAGTCTCGAGCAGGTGAGCAGCTTGCACGAGACGATCCGGATCAAGAGCGCAGCCTGGGATGACGCTGGCGTCCTTCTCTACTCCACCTTGAACCACGTCAAGTACTCCCTTCTGAATGGGTATGTCTCCCTTCTGGTGCGACGGATATTAGCTGACAGTATCACAGTGACAATGGCATCATCCGCACTCTGGACCAGACCGTCTACCTCGTCAAGGTTAAGGGCCGGAATGTCTACTGCCTGGATCGTAATGCCAAGCCCCGCGTTATGGAGATTGATCCCACCGAGTACCGCTTCAAGCTTGCACTTGTCAAGAGAAACTACGACGAAATGCTACAGATCATCAAGACTTCCAGCTTGGTCGGTCAAAGTATCATTTCGTACCTGCAAAAGAAGGGTTACCCGGAGATCGCGCTGCAGTTCGTGCAGGACCCTCAGACCCGCTTTGAGCTCGCGTTGGAGTGCGGCAACCTTGAGGTAGCTATCGAGATGGCCAGGGAGCTGGACCGCCCCAACTTGTGGAGCAGACTCGGAGCGGAGGCTCTGGCTCATGGCAACCACCAGACCGTTGAGATGGCCTACCAGAAGCAGAGGAACTTTGACAAGCTCTCTTTCCTGTACCTCGCGACTGGCGACCAGGAGAAGCTGGCGCGGATGGCTAAGATCGCCGAGCACCGTGGTGATTTCACCTCCCGTTTCCAGAACGCAATCTACCGCGGGGATGTTGAGGACCGCATCCAGATGTTCAAGGAAGTGGACCTATGTAAGTCGTTTCGAGTGTTTTGTGATGAGCTCTTTTAACCGGTGCCAGATCCCCTCGCATACCTTACGGCCAAGTCTCACGGATTGACGGAGGAGGCTGAGTCGATCCTCGAGGCCTGCGGGCTCACCGAGGACCAGATCACCCTCCCCACAATCGATGAGCCTGCGCGGGTTCCCCACCCCATCGCCCCCACTTTCAAGGCGAACTGGCCTGTCAAGGCCGCCGGCCATTCCTCGTTCGAGAAGGCCCTACTTGGGGAAGTTGGCCCCGGTGACGAGGAGGTTGCAGCAATTGAGTTCGAGCCTGAGGAGGAAGGTGACGCTGTGACTGCCCGCGACACCCTCGAGGAAGAGGAAGAGGACGTGGCTGGCTGGGACATGGGAGACGAGATCAACGTCGAAGAGGATGTTGACTTTGTGAACGTGGACAGCGCAGAGGCCGGTGCTGGTAGCACTGAGGCCGACCTGTGGGCTCGCAACTCCCCTCTGGCTGCCGACCACGTCGCTGCTGGTTCCTTTGAAACTGCCATGCAGCTCCTTAACCGTCAAGTGGGAGCGGTCAACTTTGCCCCTCTCAAGCCGCGGTTTTTGGAAGTGTACAAGGCGTCCAAGACTTACCTCCCTGCGTCTGCCGGTCTTCCCCCATTGGTAAACTATGTGCGCCGCACCGTCGACGAGACGGATAGCCGCAAGGTTCTGCCGATCATCCCGAAGGATTTGGAGACGATCGCCAACGTGGACCTGCAGGAGGGTTATGCCGCTATGAGAGCCAACAAGCTGGAAGATGGTGTTAAGATCTTCAGAGGCATTTTGAACTCGGTCCTGGTCAACACGGTCTCGTCGGAAGCCGAAGTGGAGCAGGCGAAGAAGATCATTGACACAGCTCGGGAATACATCCTGGCGATGTCAATTGAACTGGAGCGTCGTTCCATCCCCACCGACACCCCCGACAACCTCAAGAGAAGCCTCGAGCTTTCTGCATACTTCACGATCCCCAAGCTGGAGGTTGCCCACCGGCAACTGGCCCTGATGGCGGCCATGAAGCTTGCCTTTGCCAACAAGAACTACTCGTCGGCCCTCAGCTTCGCCAACCGCATGCTGGCCAACGGTGGCGCCGCTAAGCTTCTGGAACAGGTAAGCCAGAATTCCTATCAGTACCTTTCTATATCTACTAACGCATCAACCAGGCCAGGAAGATCAAGGCGCAGTGCGAGCGTAGCCCACAGGACAAGATCGACATCGAATTTGACCAGTTTGCCGAGTTCGACATCTGCGCGGCCTCGTACACCCCGATCTACGGCGGCTCGCCGAGCGTGTCGGATCCCTTCACGGGAGCCAAGTACCACGAGCAGTACAAGGGCACGGTGTGCCGGATCTCGGAGGTGACGGAGATCGGCGCGCCGGCCAGTGGCCTGCGGTTGTTCTTTCCGGGCCAGTACTGAGGATGATGACGAGATGTGACGGCTTTCTTTTTCTTCACGCTTGTAATTCCCCGTCTCTCGATGTGCAAACATGATAGAAAATGTGTTTTCTGGTGAGGGCCGAGGGTCCGTGCTCTGCTCGATGTATGGACCGGTTGATTTCTATAATTCTCAGCGACGTTAGTATATCTATTACTTTACCATTTGTTTTGACATTCTTCTGCCTGCACGCTCCTGTACAGATAAAGAGGTGAGATAGTATTGATGTGGTTCACGCTTGATGCCAATGCAGAGTAGAGATCAGTTATAGTACATCATCCAATACAACCCCAAGATCTCAAGTCTATATCTATCCAACATATATTCATACAGTCCCCCCTAATAACCACCACCTATCCATACCCCCAAACCGCAAGAGTGATACCAATTAATCACACCTCCCATCCTTCCACCCCGTCCTCCACCTCTCCTCCCAAAGCCGACAATCAAACTCCTTCTTGCCCAGTTTCCGATTCACCTCATTATGCGCCCTACACATCCAATCCCCAAACTCCTGCCGCCCCTTCAACCGCGGCTCATTCGCGCCGCTCGGCTCCGCCATCCAATTCCGGAAATCATCCGCACATACCCAGCACGGATACAACCGCGAAAAGATCCCCAGGAAGGTCCGCATCTCGGATTGTTGTTCGCTGGAGGCCTGTACCGGGTATGAGGCTGTGAGGGAGTGGAGAAAGGTCCAGGTGGAGCGGCCCAGGGCTTCGGAGTCGGGAGGACAGTCGGTGTAGGTGGCTGGGGTGGTGGTTGTTGTTGTTGCTGGTGTTTGGGTGGAGGGATTGGTGGTGGGGGTCGATTTGGCTTGTTTGGTTAGGGCGCGCCAGGAGGCGGCGGAGGTGCAGAGACGGCATCTGTATCATGGGGGTTAGGTTGGGGGTATAGAATTTGGGGGAGGGGAGGGGAGGGGAGGCGTACGGTTTCCCGTCTTTGTCGAGGATGACGCCGTTGGGGAGTTTGGTCATGCCCGCGGGGACGGAGTCATCTTTTGTTCCTGCTGTTGCTGCTGCTGGTTGGGTAGTGGAAGAGGAGGCTGTAGCGGGTTGTTGTTGATGGATAAAGAGGTGTTTCTGCGTATCTGCAGGAGGGGGGTAATTCGACTCTGACATTGTGTCTGGTGTAGGTGTGTGTATCTGGTGGTATGGTGGTGAGGGTATTCGGGTTCGTTCGAGAGAAGTAGTAGCAGTAGTAGTATGTTAGTCAATTCGCGATGAGTAGATATGTACACGACTTCGGAATGTCCTGTGCGGTTACAGGATATGAGGAATGGGTCTCCGCGATCCTTTCCTGGAACAAAATCCCAAATTCTCTCCCCGGATAGTGGATGATTGGTAATGCGCCGCAACTTGCACCGGCGGAGTCGCAACAATCTCTCCGGTGTCTCGATCGTCCCGCCGGCTTTGTCAGCCGAGTTATCTCCGCTCCGCTTGTTCCTTGGATGGGGGAGGTTCTCCATCATTCGTGCGTGCAAGCCTAAGGAGTTTGTCTGATTTTGTTTACTCGGTGCGTTTTCTGGCTGACCTAATTAAAGCACGAGCAGTGAACATACGTTGTGTCTCGCGGCGTGAAAGTGCTGTGGCGTCGACGCGAAGGTAATTGGCAATTTAGCTCCGCGTCCTCTGCACGCGACGATTGACGTTATCGCGACGACGAAGCGGTACACCACACAAGGCCGCCATGGCGCCTCGATACGCCCTTTCGAGCTCTGAACCCGAGTCAGAAGCTGAATCCGCGCCTTCAGTCCCTGCCGATGATGTCTTGGAGCAGGCGCTACGGGACGCTGTTACGAAGGTGTACAAGTCTGGGAAGATGGAGGAATTGACAGTGAAGCGGATGCGGCTGGCTGCGGAGAAGTCGCTGAAGCTTGAAGAGGGGTTCTACAGGTCTCAAGCGGATTGGAAGACGAGGAGTGAACAGATTATCAAGGATCAGGTGGTGAGTGCGGGGTTGGTATCGTTCTGTGAAATCATCGCAGACGATTTCTGTCAAGAGCCTCTATTAATATGTTGTTTCTTGTACAGGAAGAGGAAGACAAAGGTGCCGAGGAATCCGCGCCGGATGACGATCAGGAAGTCTCATCTGCCTCCGAAGATGCAAAGCCCGCCAAAAGAACAAAACAAGAGAAGCCATCGGCGTCGCGCAAACGCCGTAAGACCGCCTCGGATTCGGATGACAAAAATGCAGCTAGTGGACCAGACGAGGGTGAGGTAGAGAAGCCAACGAAGAAACAACCTAAAGCAACGCAGAAGAAACCGTCGCCGAAGCCGTCGCCGAAGCCCTCCGAGGAGTACGTGCGGGATGAGTCTGACGGCGAGGATAACGAGGCCACAACGGAAAAGGTCGACCAGACGCCCAAGTACGACTCTGAGAGCGAGATGTCGGTGGTTCTAGACGAAGAACCCAAGCCCAAGCCCAGTCGCAAACGACAAAAGAGTGCCGACGCGCCCTCCAAGAAGGGCAAGAAACAGACAACGGCCAAGGGAAAGGATGCAGATATTGACCCGAACCAAGCAGAGATTAAGCGGCTGCAAGGTTGGCTGCTGAAGTGCGGCATCCGCAAGATGTGGGCGCGGGAGCTGGCTCCCTACACCACGCCCAAAGCAAAGATCAACCACCTCAAGGGCATGCTAAAGGAAGCGGGCATGGAAGGGCGCTACTCGGTCGACAAAGCCAATCGAATCCGGGAGGAGCGTGAACTCAAAGCTGACCTGGAGATGGTCCAAGAGGGGGCCAAGCGATGGGGTAAAGAAGACGCCAGTGAGAACAGCGATGACAGCCGGCCAAAACGACGGTTGAACCGCGGCCGCAAGAGTCTGGCTTTTCTAGAGAGCGAGGGCGAGGAGACGGACTGATAGCGGATGAGATTGCTGCATGATTAGCTGTCGCAGTATCTGCCTGGAGCAGACTGTGGATCGTAATGACGTTGAAGGTATTGAATCATCTATATAGCAATTCCAGCTGTCGGCGCATCTTGCCTCATTTTCCCGACTTTGTCCCGCCCATGCGTTGAGCCACCAAACTGAAAACGGCGACGGAGGAGATGAAAAGGACAAGGTTGTAGAACTGTATAGCCTGTCTGTCAGCCACCTGCCTCACCGAGGGTGTGAGAGAGCCTACGGCAGTTCTGGAGTGCTCGTTCTCCTCGGCTTCTGTTCTAGCCTCGACGAATAGGCGTCGGAGATTGGGGAGGTTTGCCTAGATGACCCGGAGTTAGCATGGGTATATTGAAGGATACTCGAAGTCTCGTACCATGATGTTTGGTAAAAGAAATCGTGTTGGACAACAGAAGAGAGGTGGAGGTGTCGGAGTCGAAGCCCAGGCCGGGGGAAGAAAGACTGAGCCGCGATTGCGGTCAGGCCAGCCGTCCATTGGGTCCAGACACTCTCGCTCGACTCGCTCCCTGTTGTCCACCTTCCACTTACTGGCCTCCTGCTCCCCCCGTCACCCTCATCCTCTCCTCTGGGCCTGTAGTGCTTTTCTTCTCTGATACCCTTCTTCTGATCTCGCTTCCTTTCCATTTCCCTCCTGCAATCCCCTGGCCGGGTTGCTTGCCCGGCTCCCCTGAAGCTCTCGCCGCCTCGCGATTATTCCCCGCAGTCTCCTGCATTCCCACTTCCGGTCCTAACTAGTCCTGCGGAGGCGCGACCCCGTCGTCGCTGAAGCTCGGTTCGCTCATCATGGCTATGAGTAGGATAAGGGGGGCCTTCGCGGTCCCCAAGAAAGGAGAGACCTTCGAATTGCGAGCTGGTCTTGTGTATGGCTGCCCGTCCCCCGACCGGTGAATCGTGCTGACCCTCCCGGTAGATCTCAGTATGCATATGAACGGTATGTCGATAGGCTCTGCTCGCCAGAGGATGCAGTTGTGCTGCAGGACGACGTCTAATGCGCGCACAGAAAGGAGTCCATTCAGAAGACCATCATGGCCATGACGTTGGGCAAGGATGTCTCCGCTCTGTTTCCGGATGTGCTCAAGAACATTGCGACCAGTGATCTTGAACAGAAGAAACTAGTCTATCTATATCTCATGTGGGTACAATGCTGCTTCTCAAATTAACTGTTACTGAATACCTGCTGCATCATAGGAACTACGCCAAATCCCACCCGGATCTTTGCATTCTCGCCGTCAATACCTTTGTTCAAGACTCCGAAGACCCGAACCCCCTCATCCGAGCCCTTGCGATCCGGACAATGGGATGTATCCGTGTGGACAAGATGGTGGATTACATGGAGGAGCCCCTCCGCAAGACGCTCCGCGATGAGTCGCCGTACGTCCGCAAGACCGCCGCGATCTGTGTAGCGAAGCTCTTCGATCTGAACCCCGCGATGTGTCTGGAGAATGGCTTCCTTGAGATGTTGCAAGAAATGATTGGCGATCCCAACCCCATGGTGGTCGCTAATTCGGTCACCGCGCTGTCGGAAATCTACCATGCTGCCCCCGAAACGCAGGCCCTCAAGGTGACCTCCAACACCCTGCGCAAGCTTCTCATGGCCTTGAACGAGTGCACGGAGTGGGGTCGTGTCACCATCTTAACTACCCTGGCAGAGTACAAAACCACGGAAGTGACCGAATCCGAACACATTTGCGAACGAGTCTCTCCCCAGTTCCAGCATGCCAATCCAAGTGTGGTGTTGGCGGCCGTGAAAGTGGTCTTCCTCCACATGCGTAATGTGAATGCTGAGCTGGCGAACACCTATCTCAAGAAGATGGCGCCCCCTCTGGGTAAGCCTTCCCTTCCTCTAGCATGACTTATTTGGCTAATTATACGCAGTGACGCTGGTGTCGTCCGCGCCCGAAGTCCAATATGTGGCTTTAAGGAACATTGATCTGTTGCTGCAGAAGCAGCCAGATATCCTAAACAAGGAACTCCGGGTCTTCTTCTGCAAATACAATGATCCCCCTTATGTCAAGTTCCAGAAACTGGAAATTATGGTCCGCATCGCCAACGACCGAAACGTCGACCAGCTCCTGGCAGAGCTGAAGGAGTACGCGCTGGAGGTGGACATGGACTTTGTGCGCCGGGCCGTCAAAGCTATTGGCCAGGTCGCCATCAAAATCGAGAGCGCCAGCGAAAAGTGCGTCAACACCTTGTTGGACTTGATCAACACCAAGGTCAACTATGTGGTGCAAGAGGCGATCGTGGTGATCAAGGACATTTTCCGGAAGTACCCCGGTTACGAGGGCATCATCCCCACGCTCTGCCAGTGCATTGACGAACTGGATGAGCCTAATGCGCGGGCTGCTCTTATCTGGATCGTGGGCCAGTATGCGGAAAAGATCAGCAACGCGGGTGACATTCTCGCTGGTTTCGTGGAAGGCTTCAACGAGGAGTTCTCTCAGGTTTGTCATTGTCCTTGATGCTTTGGCAGTGGATGACTAACACCGTGCAGACTCAACTGCAGATCTTGACGGCCGTTGTCAAGCTCTTCCTCAAGCGCCCCGAGAAGGCTCAAGGGCTTGTCCAGAAAGTGCTGCAGGCGGCCACGGCTGAGAATGACAACCCCGACGTCCGTGATCGGGCCTATGTCTACTGGCGCTTGCTATCCAACACGAGCGATCCCAATGCTACCAAGACCATTGTGCTCTCCGACAAACCGCCGATTGTCACCACCATCCAGTCTCTCCCACCAGCTCTCCTCGAGCAACTGCTTGGCGAGCTGTCCACTCTCGCGTCTGTCTACCACAAGCCCCCGGAGCAATTCGTTGGCCAGGGCCGATTCGGTGCGGATGCTGTCCAGAGAGCTGCTATCGAGTATGTTTCATTCTCCTCTTATTGATAGTCCAGCCTCGCTAATCACTCGTTTCAGGGAACAAATTCAAAATGCTCGCGAAAACCCGTTGGCGGCAGCAGCGGCCGCCGCGGCAGTTACTGGCAGTGCCCCGCCTCTGCAGGCCCAGAACAACATGGAGAACCTGTTGGATATCGATTTCGATGGCACCGCACCGGCATCCGCCCAAAAGGAACCGAGTGGTGGAATGTCGGGTCTCGAAGGTCTTGCCGGGACGCCCGTCCGGGTGGAATCCCCTGCCGTTGGTGCCCCAGCTGGAAGCAACAATCTGGACGACCTTCTGGGAGTATTCGGCGATGGCGGAGCCACCGCCTCGGCTAGTGGGAGCAGCGCTCCCAATGGCGGTGGTGCCGGAGCGGATTTGATAAATGGCTTTGATGGGTTGGACCTGTCCGGGGGCAGCATGGCATCGCCACCTCCCGGAGGAAGCCAACCGAAGAAGACGAACGAGGACATCATGTCATTATTCTAAGCGCGACGGCCATGGATGTATGATGGCGCACGATTTCGTATAGTTGAATGAGGTGCCAGGAGGTTGAGCCAAAAGCACACATAATTCCGTCGATGCATCTCGAATATAGATCAGATCGTCTTTGTTCTCCTTTTGGGCCGAGCTTGCTCTTTTTGTTTCTGGTCTGTTTTCTTCTGTCCCATATTGAGTGTTTCCACCTATCTGTATATCCCATGCTCGGAACCTCATGAGCACCGATCCATTCTACGTATTTTCTCGTTTTCTTGGTCCTGGTTGATGCAGCTGGAGGAATTTCATCCTCGGGGTTAGTACGAATCCTGGGGCCGGCTAGGGTAGCCGAGATCGAAACCCTCGTCGAGGCCCCTGGCCGGGTGAGTCACAGCAGCCCCCATAATAATCCCTCGGTTGCATATCATGCAATCTAAATCCTCTTTCCCCCCTCATCCATTTTGTGGGGTTTGTTCAAACTGGGCTTGTTTATCGCAGTGCAATGGACCATCTGAAGAAGACGTTTGCCCAGTGCCAGCAGGAGGGCCGGCCAGCCCTGGTGACCTATGTCACTGCCGGCTTTCCCACTGCAGCGGAGACCCCAGACATTATGCTTGCTATGCAGGCCGGAGGAGCAGGTACGTTTCGATCTGGCTCTGGACTGTGGCCATCAATTGGTATGCTGATTTCCTGCTAGATGTCATTGAACTCGGACTCCCCTTTACAGACCCCATCGCCGACGGCCCGACGATCCAAATGTCGAATCTCAAAGCACTCAAGAATGGGGTCACTATATCCTCCATGCTACAGATGGTCCAGGATGCCCGCCAAAGAGGGCTGCACGTTCCTGTTCTCTTCATGGGCTACTATAACCCAATCATGCGCTATGGGGAGGCTGAACTCCTCGCTGCAAGCAGGACGGCTGGAGCGAACGGCTTCATCATTGTTGACTTACCCCCAGAGGAGGCGGTTCGTTTTCGGAATCAGTGTAGCGATGCTGGGTTAGTAACTCTCTACCATTGTGCCCTTACATGGATCAACCATTCATCCCACTGACCCACCGCAGTCTCTCCTACGTCCCCCTGATTGCCCCCTCTACCACAGAAGACCGCATGAGAACGCTCTGCGGAATAGCCGACTCCTTCATCTATCTGGTTTCCCGAATGGGTGTCACCGGTGCCACTGGCACACTGAATAACAACCTCCCGGAACTGATGGAGCGTGTCAAGGACCTCTCCGGCGGAGTGCCGGTCGCTGTTGGCTTTGGCATCAGCACCCGTGAACATTTTCTCAGTGTCACGGCTGTCGCGGACGGCGCAGTCATTGGCAGTGAGATCATTACCCAGCTGGCGAATGCCCCTGCAGGCCAGGGGGCTGCTGTCATCCAGGACTACTGCTCCCGGATCAGCAGTCGAACCGTCCAAACCGTACCCCAGACGATTCCAACTACCATCGAACCCACTTCATTGTCACATCCCTCCACCCCAGACCAACCATCCCAAGCCTCCAAACCCGGCCGCTTTGGCACCTACGGCGGCCAATACGTTCCCGAAGCCCTAACAACCTGCCTCAACGAGCTTGAAGCTGGCTTCAATGCCGCCATAGCCGACCCAACGTTCTGGGCGGAATACCGCTCTTACTACCCCTACATGGGCCGGCCTTCAACCCTTCACCAAGCCCCCCGCCTGACCTCCTACGCCGACGGCGCCACCATCTGGCTCAAACGTGAAGACCTCAACCACACCGGCTCACACAAGATCAACAACGCCCTTGGTCAAATCCTCCTCGCACGCCGACTCGGCAAAACCGAGATCATCGCCGAAACAGGCGCCGGGCAACATGGTGTCGCGACCGCAACCGTGTGCGCTAAGTTTGGTATGAAATGCACCGTCTACATGGGCTCCGAAGACGTGCGCCGACAGGCCCTCAACGTCTTCCGTATGCGGCTTCTCGGGGCCACGGTTATTCCCGTTGAGTCCGGCTCTCGCACGCTCCGCGACGCCGTCAACGAAGCCTTCCGCGCCTGGATTGTCCGTCTCGACACGACGCACTACATCATCGGCTCAGCCATCGGCCCGCATCCCTTCCCTACCATTGTCCGCACCTTCCAATCCATCATTGGCGAGGAAACCAAATCCCAACTGCAGGAAGAAATCGGCCAGCTCCCGGATGCCGTCATCTCGTGCGTCGGCGGCGGTTCCAACGCCGTGGGCATGTTCTACCCCTTCTCGAACGACCCCTCTGTCCAACTCATCGGCGTCGAAGCCGGCGGCGACGGCGGTACCGTCCACCACTCGGCCACGTTATCCGCGGGCTCAGTCGGCGTGTTACACGGCGTCCGGACCTACGTGCTCCAAGACCAACATGGACAGATCTCCGATACGCATTCCGTGTCCGCGGGGCTAGATTACCCCGGGGTTGGGCCGGAACTGGCACAATGGAAGGATGCGAACCGGGCGCGGTTCATCTCTGCTACAGATGCAGAGGCCCTGGAAGGATTCCGCTTGTTGAGTCAGTTGGAAGGCATCATCCCGGCACTGGAGACGTCGCATGCGGTTTCCGGAGCGGTGCGAGTCGCCCGGGAGTTGGGCCGGGGGAAGCATGTGGTGCTGTGTTTGAGTGGGCGGGGCGATAAAGATGTGCATACGGTGATGGAGGTGATGAAGGATTTGATTGATTGAGTATGCTGTAGACGTGAGGGGCACAATCAAAATTTTTATTACCGAGTATATCCACAAAATCATTAGACACATTGCTATTCATTGTTAGCAATTACTCTGGGTATGAAGATCGATGAAGCAGCCCATAAGTAGCACCCGCAAACGAGGCAGGTTACCCCTGCTCCGGAGATAAGATGTAGATAAATAGCCACTCTAGATATCTAGATAGCGATAATCAGCCTGCATTTTCACAAGGATGATATCGTTACACTAGGCATCGACATCCCGTACCAATCGCATAGTAATTTTCACCGCTGCTTTGAATACGAGATTACATGGGTAGCATATCACATCACATCGTATGACTCGCTCAACCGCCGCATTCCGATATCATATTCAATCCCGAGATCGTATGTTGTTCGTTCTACATCTAATAAGAAACAAGAGAAGGGAGAGTGGAATTTCATTCCGAAATCCCGCACTTGATCTAGATTATCCATGGTGTACGGAGTACTGCTGTGATGCTATCTATCTATCTATCGTATCAGGAGTATCAACATCAGGATGGAAATATGGCAGTCCCAATGACGGGTCCCAGACCAGACCTGACCCGGAATGATCCCGATGGCACTGATAGATAACCGACCGGTGCGGCGCTAAGTATCCGACTAGGGTACGTAGGGTCGATGTCGCCATCACGACGGGGTATTATGATTGTGACTGTTGATATACTGCACGGCCAGTAGAGAAAATAGTCAAGTAGTATTATATTACAGAGTACGCTTCGGGAATACCAAACCTAGATAAATCCTAACTGGATGCAGAGATTAATACTTAACAAGTTGGACCCTTTTTGGGTGTAGAAATCCTGAGTCGGATTGACGAGTGGCTCCTGAAAATGGGCCTTGGGGCTTTTTTGGCGTGGTGGGGGAGACTATCTACGGGACGTTTGGTTGCTCCAGATACTGTCTTGGAGTAGATACTCCGTATCGGTATTCTGTAAGTTAGTTTGCTAAGATGGGAGTTGGAGAATTGGAGTAGTTGGGTGACCATCTGAGTTTTGAACAGCTGGATGGATGGAGGTTCATGTCTGGGCATCACCGTACACTACCTATACTGAATATAGGCGTCGTTTTGGGTCACTTGGTAGGTGCAGATTGCAGACTGCAGGACCGTAGTGCCGATCCCAGCAGAAGAAAGATAGAAAGATGGCTGAAATACCGCGGGCCGTAGAACGAACGGAGGAAAGACTCCGGCACCGCACCCACCCACCCACCTGGTCAACCGTCACCCACGACCCAATAGTCAGTACGTAACCTCTCCATCTGGAGAATCACTGCTGATAAATGACATCGAAATCAGAGTCTTTTTGTCTTTCTTTGTCCTTCTTGGCTTTTCTTTTCCTACAATTGTGGGCCTCAGGTACCAGATGCCGATCCAACCGATGGACGATCCATGGATGAAAATCCCCACCAGTCGGTCTATAAGATGGAGTGCCATGCCGGGCCCCTGGCGCTCTGCTCTAGGATTCTTTATCTAGTTGCTACGCAAACCCCGCTGCATCGATAGGATTCGCCGCCCCATACCGTGCACAATGGCTCAAGACTACAAGTTTGAAGGATGGATGGGCCTCGATAAGGAGGCGGCTGAGGGAAAGATGGTCTGGCAGGAGTTTGAGCCCAAGCCGTGGGAGGAGACCGATGTTGACATCAAGATCTCGCACTGCGGTATCTGCGGGTCGGATTTGCACACCCTCCGCAGTGGCTGGGTAAGTCGGTCCAGAGCCCCCGAGGGGAAGGGGATGAGGCAATATGCTAATCTACGCAGAGACCGACCCTGTATCCCTGCTGTGTCGGCCATGAGCTGGTCGGCGTGGCCGTGCGCGTCGGATCCAAGGCCGTGGGTGGCATCAAGGTCGGTGACCGCGTGGGTGTTGGCGCGCAGAGCGATTCCTGCCTGGGCCGTCTGGGAGACTGCCCTGAATGTGCCATGGGCTGGGAACAGTACTGCTCCCATAAGATCGTCGGTACCTACAACAATGTGCACCTGAATGGCGGCAAGTCCTACGGTGGATATGCTCTGTACAACCGGACGCCCTCCCACTTTGTGGTCAAGATCCCCGACAGCATCCCTTCGGCGCAGGCCGCCCCCATGCTGTGCGGTGGTGTTACGCTCTACAGTCCCCTCAAGCACCACGGCTGTGGCCCCGGTAAGTGCGTCGGTATCATTGGCGTCGGTGGTCTGGGCCACTTTGGTGTTCTGTTTGCCAAGGCGATGGGGGCCGACAAGGTCGTTGCCATTTCCCGGAAGGCCAGCAAGGCCGCGGACGCGCTGCAGATGGGAGCCGACCTTTACGTGGCCACGGATGATGAGCCCGACTGGGCTACCAAGCACGCTCGTTCTTTGGACCTGATCATTTGCACGGTGTCCTCGACCAAGGTAGGAATCTGATGGGTTATGCTGAAGAGATTCGGTTGAGGAAACAGAACTGACGAGACACAGATGCCCATGACTGAATACCTGGGGCTGCTCGCGGTGAACGGCAGTCTGGTTCAGGTCGGACTGCCCGATGACGGTGTCCTGCTGGCGCCCGTGGGCAAGCTGCAGCGTCGCCTCAAGGCCACCAGCTCCTATATCGGCAGCCCGGATGAGATCCGCGAGATGTTCCAGCTCGTGGCCGACAAGGGCGTCAAGGCGTGGATTGAAGAGATCCCGATGAAGGATGCCAACGAGGCGATTTTGAACATGGATGCCGGCAAGGCCCGCTACCGTTACGTGTTGGTGAATGAGCAGTGATGATGTTGATGACGATGATGATGATGATGATGATGATGATGATGATGATGATGATGATGGTTTCGAAAGAGCGTTAGAATGTATAGAGATTGTATAGACATTCCATAGAGATTGCCGATTAAAAAATGATACCAGATGATTACCAAAGATACCCAAAGATACCGATAAGCGATAGGGAAAGTCATCACGTGGTGGCCACGCGCCGCTGTCGGCGCCACTAAGCCCGATCGGGCAGAGTTCCCCGCGGCGAGGAGGGATTCTTTCCGCCTTTTCTTGTCTTTTGCCCCTCGCAAAGAAGAGCCCGTGACTCAGAGGCTTAGATTTCCTCTCCGACTTTCTTTCCGATCGCCTCGTTCCCCTCATTCACCTTGTGAATCCCGTCCACTCATATCCACCATGTCGCACACTCTCTCGCAAAAGTACCTTAGCACGCGGGGTGGCTCCTACGGCGTAAGTGCCTGATTTTGCCGGGCCTCATCTCGAGGTCCCATCACCACTTTCAAACCCCCTCAATCGCTAACTGGCTATCGGTCTATAGCTCTCCTTCGAGGAGGTGGTCCTCAAGGGTCTGGCCTCGGATGGTGGCCTCTTCATCCCCGAGGAAATCCCTACTCTCCCCGCCTCATGGGAGTCGGAATGGCGCGACCTCAGCTTCGAGGAGTTGGCCTTCAAGATCATGTCCCTCTACATCTCCGAATCCGAGATCCCCCATGACGACCTGAAAGACATCATCAACCGCTCCTATGCGACCTTCCGCCACCCGGAACGCACCCCCATCGTTGAATTGGACGGCAAGCGCAACCTCTACCTCCTCGAACTCTTCCACGGCCCCACCTTTGCCTTCAAGGATGTCGCCCTGCAGAAGTAGGTCTCCGGATACCTCGCGCATGGGCAAAGACCCTGAGCTGACCCAATTAGTCTGGGAAACCTGTTTGAATACTTCCTGGTGCGCAAGAACCAGGGCAAGGAGGGCAAGGACAGGCACCACCTGACCGTGGTTGGCGCCACTAGCGGAGACACGGGCTCTGCCGCCATCTACGGCCTGCGTGGGAAGAAGGATGTGTCCGTCTTCATCCTGTTCCCCAATGGCAAGGTCTCGCCTATCCAGCAGGCCCAGATGACCACCATCCTCGATGCCAACGTTCACAACCTCACCGTGGAAGGCACCTTCGACGATTGCCAGGACTTCGTCAAGGCCATGTTCGCCGACCCCGAGCTCAACTCCACCCACAACCTGGCCGCCATCAACAGCATCAACTTTGCGCGCATCTTGGCCCAGATCACCTACTACTTCTACTCCTACCTCTCCCTGACCAAGACCCCTGGCTACAATGCCAAGATGCGATTCGTCGTGCCTTCCGGCAACTTCGGCGACATCCTCGCCGGTTGGTTTGCCAAGCGCATGGGTCTCCCGGCCGAGAAGCTGGTCATCGCCACCAACGAGAACGACATCTTGGACCGTTTCTTCCGCACCGGTGGTACCTACAGCAAGGGTGACGGCAAGGGTGCCGGCGTCAAGGAGACGCACAGCCCCGCCATGGACATCCTGGTCAGCAGCAACTTCGAGCGTCTGATCTGGTTCCTGGCCTTCCAGACCAGCGAGGGCAGCACTGCCGACGAGCGGCGCAAGCGGGCTTGCGAGAATGTCAGCAACTGGCTCGACCAGCTGAAGACCCAGGGCAGCTTCAGCGTGCCCCCCGCTCTCTTCGAAGCCGCCCAGGCCGAATTCGAAAGTGAGCGTGTGAGCAACGACGAGACCATCGCGCAGATCCGTTCCACCTACCAGTCGTGCTTCCCCTCCAACCTTGGCCCCGGCAGCGCCAAGAGCTCCAAGACCGGCGGTTACATTCTCGACCCTCACACCGCCATCGGTGTGGCCGCCTCTCTGCGCTCCATCGAGCGTAACCCGGGCGTCAGCCACATCTCCCTCTCCACCGCTCACCCCGCCAAGTTCGCCAGCGCCGTCGACCTGGCCCTGCGCGCGGAAGATGGCTACGACTTCACTGAAGTCCTGCCCCAGGAATTCATTGGCCTGGAGCAGCGCGAGAGCCGCGTGACCCCCGTCGGACCCGGTGCCGGCTGGCAACAGGTGCGCGAGATCGTCAAGGCTGAGGTCGAGCAGGAGCTCGAGGGTAAGCGGTAGATCTTTTAATACGCACTACTAAACTTTTCGTTTCTTCTACTACCCTACATACAACGCTTCTTCCTTCAAAAGCTATCTCGATGATATCACACGATCTTCACGCTTAATCGATGCCTTCTCCCGGTTTTCTATAGATCATATTACGAATATAGAACAAGACACTTCATTATATCATAATGAAGTCAAGTTGAACTCTGTCTACTCATCACAACCATCCATGCCCACGTAATATTATGCATTATTAGGTATTAAAGCCAGTATCTGACACAAAGCAATCAACGACTCTAGACAGAAACAGGGCCCGTCAACATCCCAGGTCAGTATGTATACTACATTCAAGAACATGCATCAGGACACCCATCTCAGAGCCAAGCACAACGAACGAGAGCAAACCGGAAAGAAAAGTCAAGTTTTTCTAAGCAGGACCGGAACACCGAAAAACATATGGGTGGGTTGCCCCATTGTGGTGATCGCGAACAATCGTAATATGGTCGTTAGATCACGCTCACTAGGCCAAGCCCGTTTAGAGGAGAGCCATGATACCCATGACGGCGGCCAGGAAGCCGACCGTGGGCCGCACGATGAAGGAGGCAGCACCCGTGAATACTGGGGAGACGCCAGTCTCGCCAGGGGTGACCGGGGAGACTCCGGAGGGAGCAGACTCGCCGGTAGCCGCAGGAGAAACGCCTGAGGGGGAAGGTCCGCCAGTGCCGATAGGAGCGACCCCAGA